AAGTTTCTGCCCAAACTCCCTATCATTCAGTGGCTACCCAAGTATAGGTAATACTTTTGTATACTTATTATTTTTTTTTATAATTCATACATTTTGATACTTAATACTTTAAAAAAAAATTGTATACTAAACACTTTTTAAAAATTTAATACATTTTCATACTTAAAATTTATATTTAAACGTTTTTATATTTAATATATTTTTATAGGAAAAAAAAACAAGTATAGAAGTAAAATATGTTTGTATGTAGTTTATTTTATTTACGTGTATTACAAAGCTACGTTGTGTCTATTGGATGACCCCATGTTTCACGTTTGGTACCTGTGCAGGTGTGGCACTTTCCAGGCTGACCTTATAGCTGGTGTTACCGTAGGTCTGACGGTCATCCCACAGTCTCTGGCACTGGCACAAGTGGCTGACCTCCCTGCTAGAGTGAGTTGTTCCAGTCGCTATGGCCTTACATCTGTGTTGGGCTTTCTTACTTTAATGTGATCATTTGACTAGTTTACTTACTTCTGTAGCTAAGTACCTAACCTTACACTCCCTCCCCCCCCCCCCCCCATACTTGTCTTACCCCCAGTATGGCCTCTACTCGGCATTTGTCGGATGTTTTGTCTACTGCCTTCTGGGAACGTCCAAAGACATCACTCTAGGACCAACCGCCATCTTGTCTCTGCTGACCGCGACTTTTGGCACGGCTGTGTCCCCCGTGTTACCCAGTGGGGAGAAGGATCCGACCATGACGATAGTACTCACCTTCTTGACCGGCGTCATACAGCTCGTCATGGGCATCTTAAAACTAGGTTGGTGGCCCAGAATTTTTTCATTTCAAACTTTTCATACAGCTCGTCATGGGCATCTTAAAACTAGGTTGGTGGCCCAGAATTTTTTCATTTCAAACTTTTCATACAGCTCGTCATGAGCATCTTATATGTGCCAGTATTGCTTTATTAATAGACAGTTGTTCTACTTTATATTAATAATCGTCATTTTAAAATGCTTGGTGTTGAAAATGTATTTAGCAAACTAAAACAGGCTCTAGATGTTTAAGTCATGTGACTAACGAACCATTTGGCCATTATCCAAATGATACACGTAAAATCACATGTGTTATATTTACACTTAAGTTTTCCGTTGCCTTATATTTACTGACGCCTCCAGAGGTTACATAAAAAAACGTGTTTTTGTTCTCTGACGTTCCAGGAATTTTGGTCAACTTCATCTGCAACCCTGTCATCAGTGCCTTTACCTCAGCTGCGGCTATAACCATAGGCATCAGCCAGGTGAAGGTAAGTTTACCTACCCTGCCTGTACCTACCTGTACCTACCTGTACCTACCTGCCCTACCTGTACCTACCTGCCCTACCTGTACCTACCTGCCCTACCTGTACCTACCTGCCCTACCTGTACCTACCTGCCCTACCTGTACCTACCTGCCCTACCTGTACCTACCTGCCCTACCTGTACCTACCTGCCCTACCTGTACCTACACCAACTCACCAATTCAACAAATTATTGTACTGAGGTGTAGGTAAGTCTACCTACCCTACCTGTACCTACCTGTACCTACACCAACTCACTAATTGAACAAATTATTGTACTGAGGTGTAGTTAAGTCTACCTGCCCTACCTGTACCTACCTGCCCTACCTGTACCTACCTGTCCTACCTGTACCTACCTGCCCTACCTGTACCTACCTGCCCTACCTGTACCTACCTGCCCTACCTGTACCTACCTGCCCTACCTGTACCTACCTGCCCTACCTGTACCTACCTGCCCTACCTGTACCTACCTGCCCTACCTGTACCTACACCAACTCACCAATTCAACAAATTATTGTACTGAGGTGTAGGTAAGTCTACCTACCCTACCTGCCCTACCTGTACCTACACCAACTCACTAATTCAATAAATTATTGTACTGAGGTGTAGGTAAGTCTACCTGTACCTACCTGTACCTACACCAACTCACTAATTCAATAAATTATTGTACTGAGGTGTAGGTAAGTCTACCTGTCCCACCTGTACCTACACTAACTCACTAATTCAATAAATTATTGTACTGGTGTGTAGGTAAGTCTACCTGCCCTACCTGTACCTACATCAACTCACTAATTCAACAGATTATTGTACTGAGGTGTAGGTAAGTCTACCTGCCCTACCTGTACCTACACCAACTCACTAATTCAATAAATTATTGTACTGAGGTGTTGGTAAGTCTACCTGTCCCACCTGTACCTACCTGTACCTACACTAACTCACTAATTCAATAAATTATTGTACTGAGGTGTAGGTAAGTCTACCTGCCCTACCTGTACCTACACTAACTAACTAATTCAATAAATTATTGTACTGAGGTGTAGGTAAGTCTACCTGCCCTACCTGTACCTACACCAACTCACTAATTCAATAAATTATTGTACTGAGGTGTAGGTAAGTCTACCTGCCCTACCTGTACCTACACCAACTAACTAATTCAATAAATTATTGTACTGAGGTGTAGGTAAGTCTACCTGTCCCACCTGTACCTACCTGTACCTACACTAACTCACTAATTCAATAAATTATTGTACTGAGGTGTAGGTAAGTCTACCTGTACCTACCTGTACCTACACCAACTAACTAATTCAATAAATTATTGTACTGAGGTGTAGGTAAGTCTACCTGTACCTACCTGTACCTACCTGTACCTACACCAACTAACTAATTCAATAAATTATTGTACTGAGGTGTAGGTAAGTCTACCTGTACCTACCTGTACCTACCTGTACCTACACCAACTCACTAATTCAATAAATTATTGTACTAAGGTGTAGGTAAGTCTACCTGTACCTACCTGTACCTACCTGTACCTACACCAACTAACTAATTCAATAAATTATTGTACTGGGGTGAAGGTAAGTCTACCTGCCCTACCTGCCAGGTGAACGGAAAAAAAGTCACAGGAAAAAAAAAACACAGAAAAAAAGTCACAATGAAAAAATTTTATCGGAAAAAAAGTCACAGAAATAAAGTCACAGAAAAAAAAGTCACACAAATCTTTTTAGAAATATTTTGATTTATTTGTTAAGAATTGTAAAATTTTATATGTTTATTGTTGTGGGTTGTATTTTTTGATAGCATAAGATGATAAAGTATTTATGTACGTTAAAAGCATTATGGTTTATAAAAATTGTAAGTAAAAATACTCTAAGATAATTTACACAACAATCTCAACTTTTGTTACGTATTTAGTTAAATACGTGGTAGAAAAGTTAATTATAAAAGCAATTTAGGCAAATTTTGCCGTAGGCTATTCTCTGGTCGGCCTCTCCTCAGTAGGCATTGTCCGAACATATTTTGTGTTGTTGACGTTTTGTGTCAATGACAGCCTTTGAACCTTGTCGGCTCTCTGTTTTGATCCTAAGTTTTGTTATGTAATGATAAATGTGGGCAGTAAAGGTGGTTGAACTAAACATAACTATTGTTGCCATGAGTTGAGGGCAGCAAGTCAGATGACCTTGCCATTTCACGGTAATTTAATTAAAAAAAAAACACGATGAAAACCGTGGACATTCTATTAAATGCTATAAATATTATGTTTAACATAATTACAATCTACATAAATCTACATAATTCATACTAAATATTTTTAGATGAATTATAAAAATTACTATGCGTATACAACCTACACACATTACATTACATTTAATTAATCCTAAGTTAATTCGACTCTCTGAATATTTAATACATAAAAGTATTAACAAATCCCATGCAAATATATATTTGTGACTTTTTTTCCTGTGACTTTTTTTCCTGTGACTTTTTTTCTGTGTTTTTTTTTCCTGTGTTTTTTTTTTCCTGTGACTTTTTTTCCTACAATCACCTGCCCTACCTGTACCTACACCAACTCACTAATTCAACAAATTATTGTACTGAGGTGTAGGTAAGTCTACCTGCCCTTCACTGATATACACCTACTATTTATTAAATTGCGTGATCAATTACATTACAAAAAATGTTTGGTGAATCGTGTTAAAATTATCATTAGACAGTTTAGTCACAACTCCCCCCCCCCCCCTCTCTATTGAAACCAACTCAAGCAATGTTGATTGACTTGTCACACGCCAACAGAATGTACAGTCGGGTGTTAATAACACATGATTTGTCGGACACGTGACGTGACTCGTGGTGGTCCCCCCGTCTTTTTGCCCCCAGAACATGGGATCACCTTGTACTTAGGGGTCAGTTCGGTCGATGGAACACCCAGGGTACCGAACTCGTAGCTTTCGTGTTAGCAAACATGCAATCTACAGCTAGACCACACCATTCAAATCTAGCGACCCTCTACAAACTGTATTCGAATTCTCTAGATAAGTTGATTCAAAAAGCTAAGTCAAGGCCTAATGTCATTGTACTTTAACTTTAACCCTTTTTCTACAGTCCGTTCTCGGCCTGCACAACATTCCCATCAACTTCCTACCGATGGTCTACGAACTTTGTCGGAAACTCCCGGAAACAAAGTAATGGTAATTAAATACGATGTACGAGTAATAATTAAATTCAGTAAAATGTAAATAGCCTTAATAAACAATTATATATATATATATATATATATATATATATATATATATATATATATATATATATATATATATATATGTGTGTGTGTGTGTATGTGTGTGTTTGTGTTTATGTGTCTCAGTAAGTGTGTGTGTGTATGTGTGTGTGTCCTATAAAAATCAGCTTTTTATTAATTTTTGAAATACCAAAGGTTTTAACACAAAATGATTAATTTATATTCCTTTTTCCAATAATTATGGGACGCCATTATTATTCTATTTCTTCTTATTAATTCCAAGATCTCTGACATGTCTTTATGTCTTTATGTTCCCATCTTCTACATTAGGGACCCTTGTTTTTCTTCTATTCTCAATTATGTTGTGTGGACTCTGCCTACAAACTCGAGCCCATGAACCAAACTCGTGATTTTCAGCTTGAATCTAATGCGTTCTACAACATAACCTAGCCCCAGCCCCCTCCCCCACCCCCCCCCCTCCCTCCCTCCCTCACCACCCCCTCCCTTACAACCCCCTCCCTCAACTAATGCGACTCAGCAAACTCTTTTGAATACTTTCCCTTGATTTAGTATATGTGACATGTTCATGGGCCTGTCCAGTCTCGCTTCAGTGATTTTATTGAAAACACTTCGGGATATCAAGTGGAAAAAGAAGAACACGGTTCACATAACGGAGCGGATGTTACATAAGGCAACATGGCTCATCGGAACATGTAGGTACAGTCATGGCGAAATTAACTTCAGTTAATCTGTATTCGTTTTAATTACGTGCTAATGACAATGCATTTGACCAACTTATTTAATTGGATGCACGTGGCATTGCAGCATCCAACGCTATTGTGGTGATAACTGCAGCAGGCGTGGCCGCCATCTTGGAAAGACATGACGTCACCAACACCATCTCGCTGACTGGCGAGATAGCTCAAGGTTTGCCGCCCTTCGCAGCCCCGAGTTTTGAGATCAACCAAGGGAACATAACCATGTCGAGCGGCGAGCTATTGGGAGTAAATAGGAGTTTTTTCCCCTTCTGTTTTCTATTTTTAGTTCGACTTTTTAAATTAAAATTTTCTTTGATAATAAAACTGTGTAGAAATCGTTGTTGCTTCATCAATAATTGACAAAAAAAAAAAAAACCTGAACATTATTTAGAGTCTCGGGGCAGGTATCGGTATTGTCCCATTGTTGGCGGTTGTGGAGTCTATGGCAGTTGGCAAGGCTTTTGGTGAGCATTGGTCAGTATTGTATGCAGAGGCGTAGCAACCCTTCCCAAACTTTCAATTTGGCGCCCCACCCCCCATATATTTTTTATATTTATAATGCAAAACTGCAGCTAAAGTGAGCTTTAAATTTTCTTTTCAACCCGTTTTAGCGCCCCCTAAGGTCGGCACCCGGGGACATATGTACCCCCGACCCCCCCTTCCCTCGCTACGCCTCTGATTGTATGTTGCATAATTCATCACACATGTGTGAGCGTGTATTGTTGTATATATGATAAGTATTGGTCAGTGTTGTATGTTAAATAATTCATCACATACGTGTGAGCGTTCATGGTTATATTCGGTGAGCTTTGGCCAGTGTTATATTTTTCATAATTCATCACACATGTGTAGTCGTGTATTGTTATGTTTGATGATCTTTGATAAGAGTTATATGTTACATGTGTCAGCATGTACATCTAGAGATGACGTGTAACTAATCGTTGCCCTACAGCCCGGGTCAACGGTTACAAGCTTGACCCGTCCCAGGAACTGATAGCCATCGGGGCATCTAACCTTCTCGGCTCTTTCTGCTCAGCCTATGCTGTCACGGGGAGCTTTGCAAGGTACGTAGCTCATGTTTTATTTCGTGTTCTTGTGTTATGGTTTAAGATGGAGATTACTTCCCTTTCATTCATTCAATCATAATTTTTTAATATAATTTTTTTCACAATTGTTTTTATTATTAGTAAAATCGATTCTTATTAATATGCATAAATAAATATGTATATACTATTAAAATTGAAAATCAAGTCGTAAATAATTACACAAATTATACTATGTGACAAAGAAGTATAGCATTAAGTCACTCCTTTTTGAAAAAAAAAAGTCTGACAAATTGTGATATGTCAGGACAGCACTGAACTCCCAGAGCGGCGTGAAGACACCCATGGGCGGGATATGGACTGGCGGGCTGGTGATCCTGGCCCTGTGTGTACTAACCCCATGGTTTTACTACATCCCAAAGTCAGCTCTCGCAGCCGTTATCATCGCAGCCGTGCTGCAGATGGTGGAGTTTCATGTGGTCATTCAACTGTGGAGGGCCAACAGTGAGTCGTGACAGACCAGCATAGGGACGTGACAGACCAACATAGGGACGTGACAGACAACGTGACAGACCAGCATAATGACGTGACAGACCAGCACGATGACGTGGCAGACGAACATAAGGACATGACAGACCAACATAGGGACGTGACAGACCAGCATAAGGACGTGACAGACCAGCATAGGGACGTGGCAGACCAGCATAGGGACGTGAAAGACCAACATAAGGACATGACAGACCAACATAATGACCTGATGTTAAACACACATAACAATCCGTCTGTTCAGAACATTTTGTCTAGTGGAGTAAAAACAAAACGTTTCTTGTTTGCTTTTTACTTTCTCGTATATACGTAGTATAGAGAAAGTATTGTAATCGTGCAAAAAAAAAAAATCGAGATTTTTACAAATCTCGACGTTTTACACCTCACTGATACGGAAAAACATAATTTTGCAATCTTGTCCGTATGTCTGTGTGTGTGTGTGTCTGTGTGTCTGTCTGTCCGTGTGTAAACACGATAACTTGAGTACCGTTACAGCTAGGTTGATGAAATTTCATATATAAGTATTTTATCAAAATCGTAGATCCGTATCAACTTTTGAGCGATTTCCGATAACCGGAAGTGGTACTTTTCCTACTTTGAATTTTTCAAAAGCCTATAACTTGAGTACTATTTCAGATAGATAAATGAAATTTCACATGTAAGTAAAAGATCTAATTCTCTACCTTCTGTTAAATTTTGAGTAATTTCCGTAGACTGGAAGTAGTAATTTACGCTACTTCCGATTTCTCAAAAAACTAATGTAAATTTTTAAAGTACTAATAATATTGCGCACTATTATACGCGTTTTTATTCGGCGTTTGCTTGGTGCGCAATGTTTTTTTTATGAGATTCTATTCTATTTTTAAAAGTTTAAGTATTTAAAATGGATTAAAAATCATAACTATATCCCCAGTTACCATCCCCTGTTGTTTTATATAAGAATATTCGAGAAAGTTTAGGGGAGATCACTACCGGTTTATTTATTTCAGAGAAAGATTTCTGCTTGCACCTGGTGACGTTTGCTTCGTCACTTCTTGTAGGGATTCAGGTAAGTGCCGGTATGAGCCAGGCAATAGAACACGTTTATAACTTTTCCAGCAAAAGATAGGTTAAAATATACTAAACAGAACAAACTCTGGGCTTTTTCCCACGTTTTCTTTAACTAGCTTTCGTCTCTGTCTTTCCAATCAAATCTTGCGATCCAAATTTCTGGCACTTCCCAGTTAGCTAGCGCGCTGAAATTTTCAGGGAAGCTTTGTTTTGGATGACAATAGAATATTCAATTGTTATTATTACTAAATTGATCCATGGAAACATTTTATTGAGCATTTTAGACCGCTATATAATCTATATATATAATTCTCCTCTGCGAGCCGTTAGAAAACAAGCTGCAAGCGCCTCCTTACAGTCCCCTCTCTTTCTCTCTATCACTATCACTACCACCCTACCCCACCCCCACATGGTCTGCTGAGCTGTGGTCACGTTAATGTTTACAAACCGTACAGCCAGGTTTAGTGACGGCTATTAGCGGCAGATAATTAAGTTTGAACCGACTTAAAACTTACAGGAGGTAACTAAGAGGAGGCTGCTTTCACGGGGGGGGGGGGGGGTGTAGGGTCGGGGTTAGGGGAAAGGAGGGGGGTTAGTGTTTTAAAGCAAATATTTTCAGTGGCAGCATTGGCACTGTCGAATTCACAAATTATGAATTACTGAAAGTAGAAAATAAATCAACTAAATAGCGGCGTATGATACGCCGCGGGTCGGCTCGTTGTAGTAAAAACGTGGGGAAAAAGGGACATAACCCAGTAACTGTAATTTGTGTACAAACAACCGTAACAACTGGTGACCAGTATGGGGGAGACGATATGGTCGAGTGGTTGGGCACACGATTGCTATCCCACTCGACACGGGTTCAAATCTATGTGTCTCTTTAGTGACAAACGTGTTTTTTACGAGTTGTCTTTTTACGAGTTGTCTTTTTACGAGTTGTCTTCGTTTACCCAAAAAAAAGTGAAAAGATAAAATCGATAGCAAGATTTTAATGCAAACAAACAGACAAAGACTAAAAAGTAGAAAATAATAATCATTAAAAAAGTTTTAAAAAACCCACGTTTTCTGATTGATCTAAAAAGTAGAAAATAAATGCTATACATCACAATAATGCAAGCGATCACTCTACTATAAGCGATCAAAAACGTGGGGCGCCGTGATTTTCTTACAGTTTCTAATACTGTTGACTCTCTACAAGCTCCCTAATAAAAGTCAATAGTATTATCTAATCAATAGTAATATAACTTTTACTTCGGCGCCCCACGTTTTTCATCGCTTATAGTAGAGTGATCGCTTGCATTATTGTGATGTGTAGCATTTATTTTCTACTTTTTAGTTCAATCAGAAAACGTGGGTTTTTTAAAACTTTTTTAATGATTATTATTATAATTCAGTGTTCATTATATATATATATATATATATATATATATATATATATATATATATATATATATATATACATATATATATATACACCGTTAGTTAAGATATTTTTGTCTTGTCCAGTACGGGATACTTCTCGGTGTTGGTCTGTCCATTGTGTTACTGCTGTACCACAATGCTCGACCGGAGGTCAAGGTGAGTCTCGCAAGATGGCGTCGTTGGAAAGGTGGGTGAAGCGACATGGTAGGCAAGCAAGCTGTAGTTTTACTATGGTTGTTTCCCTTTGATAACATTCAACTTGGGTGAAATTCAAATCATTTAATTAATTTTTTATGACATTCATTTTATTTGTGAGCTGTATATGAGTAGCAAGGGAAAAAAAGAGTACAATTGAATTCATTTGAAATATGTAATGAAATAAAACATATGAAAAAGAAAACTAAAATTTCGCTCGAAGTGTTTAAAAAAAAAACAACATGAATTGTAATTTATTTTTATTCTTGTGACATAAAAATAACCCGATTTCTTACTTCATGCCACCAGTTCCAGCAAGTTGACGAGGTTTTAGTGGTGACCCCACAGCACGGCCTGTTCTTTCCGGCAGCTGAGTACCTGGAGACATTGACCCTTGAGAGGGCACTGTCAGGTAAGATATACCAGCCAAGAGGTCGCGCTCTTGTCTTGAAGGGTCGGGTGAGATTGAACAGACTCTCAATAAGATATTGAATGAGAGCTGTTTCATTTTTTTTTCTGAAAACAACATGAATGCACCATTCCCTATCTGCTGCACAAAGCGACTACATTCTGTTAGTGGTCATAGGCCATCAAGATAGACCGCAGTCCGTTTGTGAATGACCATTGGCTGTTCTGTTAGACAATATTTTGTTTATGAGTGGCCATTGATGGCGTTTTAAAGCAAATATTGTTAGTCGTGTCGACTTCATAAATTAGGAGTTACTAAAAAGTAGAAATTTAAACAAATATAAAAATCCTTAATAGCAACAAGATTTTAATTGCACTGAAAATAAGAAAATAAACGAATTGGCTTTCTTTCATAAAAACTTTTGTCTCTCATAAGAACTTTTACATATTTTAGTGACCAAAGCTTTTATGAGAGAAAGCAGATTAGTTTTATTATTTTCTTATTTTTAGTGCACTTAAAAGCAGGTTGCTATAAAGTATCTATATATATAATTCTCTTCTGGGAGCCGTTAGAAAACAAGCTGCAAGCGCCTCCTTGCAGTCCCCTCTCTTTCTCTCTATCACTATCACTACCACCCCCACCCCACCCCCACATTGTCTGGTGAGCTGTGGTCACGCTAAATGTTTACAAAGCTAAATGTTTACAAATCGCAGAGCCGTAGAGTCGGGTTTCTATTAGGGGCAGATAATTTAGTTCGATTTTAAACTTACAGGAGGTAACTAAGAAATAACTAAGAGGAGGCTGCTTTCAGGGGGGGGGGGTGTAGGGTCGGGGTTAGGGGAAAGGGGGGGGGGGGGGGTTAGTGTTTTAAAGCAAATATTTTCAGTGGCAGCATTGGTACTGTCGAATTCACAAATTATGAATTACTGAAAAGTAGAAAATAAAACAACTAAATAGCGGCGTATGATACGCCGCGGGTCGGCTCGTTTTTTATATTTATTTAATTTAATTTTTTGTTGCAGGAGAGAAAACTAGACACGTTGTGATGGACATGCGTCATCTGTCAGAGCTGGACTACACGGGCGTCCAGTCTATGCAGGACCTGATGCTGGACTGTACAAAACATGAGATGACGCATGTCATGGTTAGAGTTAAGGTACGGTTTAAGTGGTCGTTTTTTTCTAGGAATAGTGAACTACAGCTTTGTAACTTTAAGTTAACGTAAGGGTTAGGGTTGGAGGACTGTCATATACTAGCCAACCAGCGGGCGACAAATCACTCAGGTGAGTCGCTCACAGTTGGGTCAAATTTACGCTTCAGTGAACATCTTAGTTTGTCTTTTCACGTCCACATAGGGATCATGACGATTGTTGTTAGGGCTCATGATGCTGGATGTGACGTCATTTGACAGATTTTCAGGTCATGTACCAGATTTTAGATCATATACCGGATTTTAGGTCATGTACCAGATTTTAGGTCATGTACCAGATTTTAGGTCATGTACCGGATTTTAGGTCATGTACCGGATTTTAGGTAATGTACCGGATTTTAGGTCATGTACTGGAATTTAGGTCATGTACCGGATTTTAGGTCATGTACCGGATTTTAGGTCATGTACTGGAATTTAGGTCATGTACCGGATTTTAGGTCATGTACCAGATTTTAGGTCATGTACCGGATTTTAGGTCATGTACCCGATTTAGGTCATGTACCGGATTATAGGACATGTACCGGATTTTAGGTCATGTACTGGAATTTAGGTCATGTACAGGATTTTAGATCATATACCTGATGTTAGGTAATTCGACTGAATTTAGGTCCTTTACAGATTTTAAGCCCATGACAGATTTTTAATTCTTGTACCAGCTTTTATGTTAGATGCAATATTTTAAATAATTTGATAGAATTAAGATCATATGCCAGAGTTGAGTTCCTTTGAGAGATTTTAGACCCTATGACAGATTTCATCCAGACCACATATAACTGCTGAAAGAGGGAGGGGGTGGAATGTTTTCCAAACTTACACAAATAAATTAACTTTGACATACCTGCCTTGTTCATAGCCCCACCTCATCAGACAGCTAAAGCGAGCCGACGTGAAGAATGTCGTTGTTATGAAAACTGTTGCAGACGTGATCAAGAAGCTGACAAGAGGTATGTCTAATGACACGACTTTAGCCTGCCGCTAGACACAACACTACTCAGCTTACAAGAGGTATGTCTAATGACACGACTTTAGCCTGCCGCTAGACACAACACTACTCAGCTTACAAGAGGTATGTCTAATGACACGACTTTAGCCTGCCGCTAGACACAACACTACTCAGCTTACAAGAGGTATGTCTAATGACACGACTTTAGCCTGCCGCTAGACACAACACTACTCAGCTTACAAGATGTATGTCTAATGACACGACTTTAGCCTGCCGCTAGACACAACACTACTCAGCTTACAAGATGTATGTCTAATGACACGACTTTAGCCTGCCGCTAGACACAACACTACTCAGCTTACAAGAGGTATGTCTAATGACACGACTTTAGCCTGCCGCTAGACACAACACTACTCAGCTTACAAGAGGTATGTCTAATGACACGACTTTAGCCTGCCGCTAGACACAACACTACTCAGCTTACAAGAGGTATGTCTAATGACACAAGTTTAGCCTGCCGCTAGACACAACACTACTCAGCTTACAAGAGGTATGTCTAATGACACGACTTTAGCCTGCCGCTAGACACAACACTACTCAGCTTACAAGAGGTATGTCTAATGACACGACTTTAGCCTGCCGCTAGACACAACACTACTCAGCTTACAGGCGGGGATGAATAGTTGATACATTGCTAGAAAATGTAATAATTTTATTATCTAGAAACAATCAATTCTTTTTCTTTATTCTGTCTAAAGATGTGGACCTAGAAACTCCAGATGGGGTTTCCCTCCTGCCGCAAGACGTGCCTGTCTCTTGACCTAATTGAAAGTCTCAGATAGGCTGTTTTGATGTTTTTAACATCAGGCTAAACATTGTGTGTTGTGATGTTTTTAACATTAGTTTAAACATTGTGTGTTGTGATGTTTTTAACATCAGTTTAAACACTGTATGTTGTGATATTTTTAACATCAGTTTAAACACTGTATGTTGTGATGTTTTTAACATCAGTTTAAACACTGTATGTTGTGATGTTTTTAACATCAGTTTAAACATTGTGTGTTGTGATGTTTTTAACATCAGTTAAAATTTTTTACCGCCCCCCCCCCCCCCGAACGAAATGAAATTTATATAATTTATATAGAAAATATATACTTTTAACAGTGTCCGCCCCCCCCCCCCCGAAGAAAGTCTACCGCCCCCCCCCCCCCCCCCCCCGAAAATTTCAAGTGCCCCCCGGAGAAAAAAGTCTGGAAGAAACACTGGCTGTGTGTTGTGGTGTTTTAACCTTAAGATGACAACACTGTTAGGTCAATGTTGATGTGTGAATTAGAGATGGGACTTTCCAAGTAGCTTTTAACTCTATTAACATTACAACTATTTCATTATCATTAAACACTTTTAGAAGGTGCTTAAAACGTGCACGCACAGATTTTATTGTGATCTCTGGGAGAAATAAAAACACATTTTAAAATGCGGATTATCGTTCTCTATTACGGGGGTTTTCTATTAATTTGGGACCATAGGATAAATGTTCACTGGAGAAGAACACGATTCTAATTCTCCAATTTTGGACTATAATGATGATCAGTAAGAAACAAAAACAACTAATAAAATATATGAAAAACCAGTAAGCTTGTTTATATACTGAAAATGAATGAATACGAATTTGGTTTTTTTAGTAAAACTATTCGTCGCTAAATATGTGTAAGATTTTAATGAGCGACCAATTCTTTTACAAAAGAAAGCAAGTTTTTAAAATCAGTTCATTGCATGTATAAACTTACTTTTGAACATATTGTTTATATTTGTTTTATTTTTTGTTTTAGTATGTTTGTAGTTAAAATATTAAAACATAAGTTAATTATAATTTTTTTTATTGGTTCTTTATTTGTTATATATTACATTGATTATTAATAGTTTCGACACAAAGTACAACAAAAGATATTTGCATTCGAACCCAACCAAAAGCTTGCAATCTCTGAGAAACCAACCAAACGCGACCAACAATAAACATGTAACAATGAAATTAAAAGAATGTTCCTGTTTCTTCAGTAAAAATAAATTATTGTTAAATATGTAAGCGATTTCATGACATTGTGAACGAAAATTTTTTTTTTTTAAAAACATAACGTGTTAGTTTTCATAAATATTGTCTTAGCTTTCTCTTAGGATCTATTTCTGTCTGTCTGTCCGTCATTTTTAAATGTACCAGCTTGGAAACAGAACAAAACTAAACACAAACACAAAAAAAAACACAAACACAACGCAAGCCCAACACAAACCCAATGCAAACGCAAACTAAAAAAAACCATAAACAAAAATGCAACACGCACACGCAATACGCAAAATCAAAAGAAAAAACAAACATAAACACAATGCAAACACAAATGCAAACGCAAAAAAAAAAACACAAACGAAAACGCAAACGCATAACATAAACACAACTTAAATGCAAACATAAACACATAGCGCTCACAGTCTAGCCCGGGGCGCTAAATCGCACCCGGCCGGGGCGCCAGCAGAACCTTACTCTATTTCTTATAATAAGACACTGCGATGCAAATAAAAAGCATGACACGTGATGTGCTTACTTTTATGGTTCAAAAATATATAGCAATAACGGAATGACTGACACACTACCAGCCCGCTTATATTATAGATTAGCGTACAAGTTCACTAATTTTAACGTAATTATCAATATTTTAAAATAGAACACAATCCCTAAAATTATTCGGTGTTAAAGTGAGAGGCTTGTAGAACACTGTCGTGTATTGAGTTTAATCACATGAATAAAAGGACCCAATCAACCATTGAGTTTAATCACATGAATAAAAGGACCCAATCAATTATCGAGTTTAATCACATGAATAAAAGGACCCAATCAACCATTGAGTTTAATCACATGAATAAAAGGACCCAATCAACTATTGAGTTTAATCATAGGAATAAAAGGACCCAATCAACTATTGAGTTTAATCATAGGAATAAAAGGACCCAATCAACTATTGAGTTTAATCATAGGAATAAAAGGACCCAATCAACCATTGAGTTTAATCATATGAATAAAAGGATCCAATCAACTATTGAGTTTAATCATATGAATAAAAGGATCCAATCAACTATTGAGTTTAATCACATGAATAAAAGGACCCAATCAACTATCGAGTTTAATCACAGGAATAAAAGGACCCAATCAACCATTGAGTTTAATCATAGGAATAAAAGGACCCAATCAACTATCAAGCTTAATCACATGAATAAAAGGACCCAATCAAACGAAATAGAACGAGCACGCGACCATCTTAACGTCAGCGGAACAACCCTTTCCCTCCCCATCCCGTTGATGACGTATTGTGTAGCGTTTAGATTCGCGGCGAATGAAAATAATCAGCGGCTATATCGCTTTTCTGTGAATATAGAAATACCTTCCAGATATCGCAAAAGTATTTTCAATTATGAATTAAAATGTCTTAATTACGTAGAAAAATGAAAACATTGTACATCATAAGTGAACTTGCTATAAATAAATATGCATTGACTTTAAGATGTACTTTTCACTGCATTCTGTAAAATAGTTGTCCAAATAATTGGAGCAGAGATTTGGAACTTATGAAAAATGAACAAGTAATTTAGAGAGGCAACAACATAGATAATCAAAGATTTAAAAATTCTTTTGTTTAATAAAATCGTTTAGCCATTGTCTTTACACGTTTACAAACATTTTTTATCCCATTTTAAGCGCTATTCTATACGAGTTTAATGATATCTTTTAATAAAAAAAACAAACAAAAAAAAACGAATACAATACAAAATAAGATGCTCGGTTAAATAATTCTTTTAAAAAACGTGATAATTTTAGTTTAATTCGATAAATCACTTAATTAAACGTCCTCTTATTCAAATCAAATACACACTGCATGTTTACCAAACTAAAGGATCACTAAACCATTTAATTCGCTAATGGTAATTTATTGAGTTATAATCTTAATGTTTCATTTACATGACATTATAAGAAACGTAACTGTTCTATAAAAATGCACACCCTCGGGCGGTGGGGGGGGGGGTCACACTGAGCAGTATGCACCACTTGGCGACGCCTTTTCCTAACTGCCGACGTCAGCCTTGTCAGGTCTAAATTGCGTTAGCTCAACATTTGAAATGTTGATAACTTTAATGGCCACAGATTTAAGTAAATGGCCTATGTCACTCTACAGTTTGGGAACTGTTTGCACTGTGTTTGTGGCCTATATTATTACATTTATTGCAATCTATGGCGTATGTCACTATACAGTTTGGGAACTGTTTGCACTGTGTTTGTGGCCTATATTATTACATTTATTGCAATCTATGGCGTATGTCACTATACAGTTTGGGAACATGTGGTCTAGATTATTAATTTATTACATTTACTTCAATCTACGGGGTATGTCACTATACAGTTTGGGAACCTGTGGTCTAGATTATTACATCTCCTTAAAGTACCTCTCTGCTCCTGTTTCATGTACGTCACAAGTTCTGCATGAGTTATTTATTCCTGGGCCAACACTGGTGTCATCACTCGTCCTCCACTCCATCAGTGATTGGTTGACTCAGAACATCAGCCTTAGACATATAGGACGGGGGGAAAATTTCTTGGCGAGGTGTCATTCAAAATATGTGTCAACAAAATGTTATGTGTCAAGAAATGTTTTTGTGTCAACAAAATGTTGCGTGTTAATAAAATGTTACATGGCAACAATGTGTTAAAAATTAACAAAATACTTTTACAACAGAACGTCAACATGTGACATTGTGACAACATATTGCTTTATGCGAAAAAAAATGTTACCACCATAGGAAAAGAAATGTTATAAATTTAACTAGTCCTTTTATCCTACACGATGGAATTTTTTTACTTGCTCGTATATACGAAGTATAGAGAAAGTCTTGTAATCGTTGCAAAAAAAAAAATCGAGATTTTTACAAATCTCGTCGTTTTACACCTCGCTGATACGGAAAAACATAATTTTGCAATCTTGTCCGTATGTCTGTGTGTCTGTGTGTCTGTGTGTCTGTGTGTGTGTGTATGTGTGTGTGTGTGTGTGTGTGTGTGTGTGTGTGTGTAAACACGATACCTTGAGTACCGTTACAGCTAGGTTGATGAAATTTCATATATATGTATTTTATCAAAATCTTAGATCCGTATCAACTTTTGAGCGATTTCCGATAACCGGGAGTGGTACTTTTTCTACTTTGAATTTTTCAAAAGCCTATAACTTGAGTATTATTTCAGATAGATAAATGAAATTTCACATATAAGTAAAAGATTAATTATCTACTTCTGTCAAATTTTGAATAATTTCCGTTGACCGGAAGTAGTAATTTACGCCATTTTCGATTTCTCAAAAAAGCGTGTAAATTTATAAAGTACTAATAATATTTTTTCTATGAGATTCTATTCTATTTTTAAAAGTTTAAATAATTAAAAATCATGTCTATATTCCGACTTATATAAGAACTAGGCATGCTGCCCAGCTTCGCTTAGGCTTTCGAAAACATTGAGAATTTGAATGCTTAATTAATTCGCCCGAAGGTCGGTCTACGACCTCAAGAGTTATGAAGAGGTTCCTCCGTGGACATTTTTTTTCGATTTATAACTCATATAAGGTACCGGTCAGTCGAGGTCAGTTTTGACCCCCACATCGTAGACTTTTCGGCCAACCGGCCCCCGTGTTCTGTCGCACCAAGGCAAGATCATGCCAAATTTGAAGCGCCTGCGGCGCCGGGAAGTGCCCTATCGGACACCCGACAATCTAGATCTAGATCTAGATTCCTAAAAGAATTTTTTTTTTAAATTTAGCCCGAGCATAATAAAAAAGAATACATTAACCAAGTTGACTTGCTGTGTCTCGAACCCGCACCACCTGCGTGGTTTAATGTACACTAACATCTCCGCTATTTAGGCACCTTATAAAATACGGAGAATGAAACACGTATTTTAAAATCTTAACTTACGCGAATATGCCTATTCTTTCAAATTAATTTTTTATCCCAAATTAGCCAGTTCCAAACAAAGATTTTGTATAAAATAAATAAGTCTTGAAATAGTTTAGTCCTAATATAGACATTTATTTTTGGAATTGATTTTAGAGAAGTTAGAGTCTAAATCTAGATCTTAGCGTCTACGTCTAGATCTAGTTATTGCGTAGATTTAGATTTAGTCTAGATCTAGAATCTCTAGATCTAGAATCCAAATACATAAAATAAATTTTATGAGTTTAGGCCGGAAAAATTGTATTGTATACATTTCATAGTGTACGTAGATCTAAATCAAATTTGAATGAAATAGTTCATTTCTTTTCATTCTTAACACGGCAGATGACGTCATTAGTTAATGTATAAGCAATAGTGACGTCACAGTTTTATGCGTTCTTTTTCACATATATTAATCCTTTTCCGGTTGCATAAATAATACTGTTTCTCTACATTCGAATACGCCTTTAATTTTTATTTTTCTTCTTTAAGTAAAATTGTGGTTATACATTTAAAACATCTAACATATTATTTTCAACAAAAGTCCGTAAAAAGTTCTCCATATACCGCTGCCGATTCTGACGTGATGTCCGGCGAAAATTTTTTGCGGACAGAGAAAGAGAGAGAGAGAGAGAGAGATGTGCGCACATTGGGCTTTTATAAATTAGGATATTCGAGAAAGTTTAGGGGAGATCACTCCCGGTTTATTTCTTAATTTTTTTTCCCTAATAGAACATTAACTAATCGTGTCAATTTAGGACTTTTTATAGAGTAATTAACATCGACAAAGCAAATTACACTAAGTCAATTTTGTATTTTAAAGTTGACCTCTACTTTTAATACCCCCTCTCCTAAATAAGAACGTGACAATGTAAGACGACTGTCCTGAAGCTAATATTCACTCTCAACCGTCTGGACCATTACTCACAACACATTGTCTGTCTGTGGACTCCTATAACTCAACTTTATCTGACCTGCTGTTTCTTTCCAAACTTTCCAGGTACATTCGTATCCGATGACAACGCAAAAATATTCAACCTTCGTCGCCATACTGATCAAACGATCGCAAGTACTTAATCCAGTAGTTCCCCCTTTTGTTATTAATTTCAATCATATTTTAATTAATTTTTATGGCCAATAATAAACCCAATTAGATTTTAAAATGATATATTCTTGGGTTGTCATCGGAGACTAATATATCTGAAAAGTTTAAATCGAATGGCGATTGAGTAAAGATTGAATTACAAATTTTGTCACAAACAGGTAGAAGTATAGACAGAGGGATGGACAGACAGAAGGACAGACATACACAAAGATAGACAGATAGAAGGATAGACAGATCAAGGATAGACAGACAGAAGGATAGACAGACAGAAGGATAGACAGACAGAAAGACAGACAGACATTAGGGTAGACAGACAGAAGGATAAACGGATAGGATAGACAGACAAAAGGAATTTGTGAATTAAAACAAAGCTTATAAACCGCTCTTCTTCTGCCGTATCTACCTAGCCTCCACCAAAATTAATTAACTTTTACTATGCCGACATGAACATAGAAATATAATTTGTTTGCCTCCTCAAAAAAAGGTTGTGTACATTTCATACGTCATCATATACAGCGTCAAATAGTTCTTTGAGAAACAATTTGATCAAAAATCTTTCTAAACTTCTATCTTTTAAAAGTAGCTATGTTAACATCTTTCACACAAACAAGCGTCAAAAAGTTCGTTGAGAAACAATTTGATCAAAAATCTTTCTAAACTTCTATCTTTTAAAAGTAGCTATTGTAACGTCTTTCACACAAACATGTTTCACCTACAAACACAAACGTAACAAAACCTTTCTTTATATATTTTAAATTTGCAAAAAATTCCCACAAACCATTGTTGTAAGAATTAGGTCTGGGATTATAGGTATTACATTTTTTTTAACCCACTAATAAAAAACAGTGTTATTAAAGCATTCAAAAACATATAACATGCTTAGACCACAATCACGTGATAACAATGGCCGCTCGATGACGCGTTTGTTATTATAGACGGCTCGGTAATAATTTGAGAAGAGGGGAGGGGTGCAATAACTTGAGGAGGGGGGGTGATTCAACAGGGTCTATTAGTTCTAGCCACGATTGGCTGATGCACCTGTCTATAAATGAGCCCTCTGTTTAAAGACAGCACTGCGTACTACTGCGGTTGTTGAACTAGTTCATCACGAGTGTTGGAGCTGGTGAGATATACCTACAGACACGGAATACAACTCGGCTTTTTGTGAGAGACACGAGACTTTACCCTCGCAGGTCTACACGCGAGTACTGCTGCAGATTTTAATTAATTTACCTGCAACCTTCAGTGGTCATCTGGGTGCTATTGATACAATCTGTGGACATTGAGGCACCGGAAGGTTCCAGAACATTGACAATCTGTGGACATTGAGGCACCGGAAGGTTCCAGAACATTGTTAAATGGTCTTCTCGACAGACACAGGGAACCACAAGCCGGACTTGGAGAAAAATGGGGAGCCTATCCCACTTAAGGTGGCGCCCCTGGAGACGTCAGTTCACATGGGAAAAGAGGTGAGGTAAACTAGTTTTAACTAGCCCAAAAGTGGTGAGGTAAACTAGTTTTAACTAGCCAGTGGTGAGGTAAACTAGTTTTAACTAGCCAGTGGTGAGGTAAACTAGTTTTAACTAGTCTAAAAAGCGAGGTAAACTAGTTTTAACTAGCCTAAAAGTGAGGTAAACTAGTTTTAACTAGGCAGTGGTGAGGTAAACTAGTTTTAACTAGCCAGTGGTGAGGTAAACTAGTTTTAACTAGCCAGTGGTAAGGTAAACTAGTTTTAACTAGTCTAAAAAGTGAGGTAAACTAGTTTTAACTAGCCGGTGGTGAGGTAAATTAGTTGTAACTAGTCTAAAAAGTGAGGTAAAGTAGTTTTAACTAGCCAGTGGTGAGGTAAACTAGTTTTAACTAACTAGTGGTGAGGTAACCTAGTTTCAACTAGTCTAAAATGTGAGGTAAACTAGTTTTAACTAGCCTAAAAGTGAGGTAAAATAGTTTTAACTATTCTAAAAGAGGTGTGGTAAAATAGTTTTATCTAGCCCAAAAGAGGTGAGGTAAACTAATTTTAACTAGCCTAAAAGTGATGTAGACTAGTTTCTTAAATTAGCTCACAAAAAAGAGAATGTAGGCATATTGGTGATAACTTTGCAAGTTTATTGGTATTATTATGAACAAGCTATTTATTTTAATTCTTAAGCTCCATACTTTTATGTAGCTTATCACTAGTGAAAAACTGACAAGAACACTTGCGTTACATTCACCTGTCACGTTTGAACATTTATTTGCCAAAAGTCGTGTGTTTTTTTTTTTTGTACATTGAGTGTTCTGAATAGCATTATACTAAAAATATTAAACTAATAAAGAACTTTAATATTACGAGAATTTATGTAGTAAAATCCGCTACTGCAGAGAACTTGAAAGTATTGTATTTTTTGGTTACTTCTCTGTTGATCTTCTGTAACCTTGAGAATTTCTTTCCTTAGAAATACAAACTTTAACGGTAATCATAATTGTTTAATATTTTTATTTTATATTTAACTAGTAATTATTTCAATCGTGTGCAGACATTTTTTTTTTCAGTCTGAAAATGAAAATTGTATAATCAATGCTTAAGCTTCGTATTTTCAATGTAATTTCCACAATTTTTTCCATTTATAACATTGTGACAATACAAAAAAAAAAAAAAAATAACAAAAAAAAAATAACAAAAAAAAAAAAAAAAAAAAAAAAAAACAACTCAAGTGCATTGTATAGTATTTTTTTTCTCTATATAGTGTTGTCACATAAATTACTCAAAAACAACATGACATGGTACTTAAATGATAAAAAAATACGAAACGGAAAAAACCTAAGTGTATTGTATTTTTTTTCTCGATAGCGTTTTCTCATAAATTAACCCAAAACAACATGGTACTTAAATGATATAAAAAACATTCAACCAAGTTTTATAATTACACATGTTTTAATGACCCTGTACCATTTTAAAAATAATATTCTCTCTCCTTTGAGAGCCAGTTTGAGTATGTTGCCCCGGGGATCGAATTTTCTGTTTGATTCGTAGGTCGGTAGGGCCTACAGTTGTACCCTTAATAAGCAGGATTAAAACTGTAGGGCCCTACCGACCTACGAATCACACAGAAAATGATGACGTCACGTAACATCAGTGTCGGCATGTTGGAAGCATTTGTGACGCGGCTAACTGTAAACATCCAATGTTTTGGAAGGTTGCTGTAAACATCCAATGTTTTGGAAGGTTGCTAGAAAGAAATATCTATGTCACGTGCACTTATAAAACTAACGCTGAAATGAAAAAGAAACCAGAAATTTAATAGCATCTCTGTGCCCTCTCTCTCTTTCTCCCTCTCCGTCATTGCCTTCTCCCTGCCTCACTTTCTCTCTGGCGCTCTTTAACAGTTCAACAGATAAAGAAATAACGTTTTTTTTGTAAATGTAGCTTAAAATCAATTTTAACAATCAAATAACCACCAGCTCTTTATTAAATTATGATATTGTTATATATATATATATATATATATATATATATATATATATATATATATATATATATATATATATATATATATATATATATATATATCAGAGGCGTAGCGACCCTTCCCGGCGCCTGGGGACAAACTTTTCGATTTGCACCCCCCCCCCCTTCAAACTTTCAATTTGCACCCCCCTCAACCTTTCAACTTATTTTTCCAACCCATTTTGGCGCCCCCTAAGCTCGGCGCCCGGGGACATTTGTCCCCCCCCCCCCGCTACGCTACTGATATATATATATATATATATATATATATATATATATATATATATATATATATATATATATATATATATATATATATATATATATATGTATATATATATATATATATATATATATATATATATATATATATATATATATATATATATATATATATATATATATATATTAAAGGTAGGAGGTTGACATAGCTAAGTTGGCCAAAAAAAAAAATTTTCTCCTCTCCAAATAAAATGAAAAAGCGTCAACTTTATTTCTTATTTTCTTAACACATAAGTATACCTTCGAGAAATTGGAGTGTAGCCAATATAGGCTGTTAAAAATAGCTTGACTCGAATTTCTAAGCCTGGTAGATACAATAGAACTCCCTTCACAGATGAAACACAAATGGCTCGCCCGTGATGTAGGGGCAGGTAACTGTCATAAAATATAGGCCGTTGTTTTCATAAGCTATTTCCCTTGTACCGCATGAGCGAATCGCTGTTACGGGATTTTTGTGAAGTAAAAAATGTTTAATTGAAATGGAATATAAATGGGATTAATTTTGCGTGGGAAGTGAAAACGAAAAAAAAATTATCAATTATTAAAAGTACAATAATATTCGTAATATAAAGCAGAACTAAGTTTGGTTAATACATACATTACACTACACAGGTCATAGCTATTTTTTTTTACTTACACAATGCAATGACAAAATAAATAAAATAAACACTTAGCATAACAATGGTATCACTGAATGTTAGCTGAGCTGATTGTTATATTCTAGCCCTCGAATAGATCGATAAGGTTTGTCTTTCAATGACGTCGCACACATATAGGTGGGGAGGAGGGAGGTAAGTGGAAAAGATCGGTTTGACTCGTAATGCATGGTTAAGGGCAGTGGAGGGGGGGGGGGGGGGGTTACACATAAACGTAGCATACATATTCTAATTTAATTTAATAAAATACAATAGCGCAAATAACGCATGAACTTAATGTTTTTATTTTATTTAGCGGGTGGTGTGAATTATTCAGGGGGCGGATGGGGAGGGGTGTATATTTTTATTTTTGTGGCTACGTATAGCGGAAGTTTGGAGTAAATATCGGCTACAACCACACGAATTTTTTTTTGCTAACGACTTCACCCCCCCCCCCCCCCCCCGTGTGCCGAGGCTTACCACTGTGTAAATAGTTTCTCTTCTCTCTATTCTTCCAATAACCCAATCTCACCCCCCCCCCCCCTCCCATCTTTAACCCCAACAGCCCCACGAGAATGGAGTCAACGGGTCAGCCAAGCACGACCCCCCAGAGAAAAAGTTTGAGATCGACTACGGTTTTGGTGACGAGTTGACCCGCCCGCCCCTGCCCGTCAAGGAGCATGTCAAGAATTGTTGCAGGAGTTGTTTCTCCTTGGACACCCTCAAGAGTCGCTTCCCCATCATAACATGGCTGCCGCAATACAAGTAAGTAATCGCAGGCTTGTTAACAAGGTATACAGTGGCATCGGAGTGAAGCATTCTATGATAGAAATTTAGAACCAGTGGCCAGCTTTCTTGTAAAAACTATTGGACAGGTTGTCATGTTTTTCATTGAAAATTTAGCCAGTGTTTCTTGACATGATGATTTTTTTTTTAAATATTGGTATGTCCTTCAAATTAAAAAAAAAATAGGAAAAAAAAAACATACGTTGTCACCTGCTGTCACCGCACATGTCATTGAACTTGTTTCTCTAGTTTATCACTGTTTTCCCCAGAATGTTTCCAACATACATTGTTTCATATCTTGTTTATCAGATTGATTCTAGTTATTGTGGTAATGTTTTTCACCTTTCCCGTGCAGTTTGTTCAAGATGCAGTGTGACATCATCGCTGGTATAACCGTTGGTCTGACCGTCATCCCTCAGAGTCTGGCTTATGCTGGCATCGCGGGGCTGCCCCCTGTGGTAGGGCTTAAAACTTCTCTTAAAACTTCTCTTAAAACTTCTGTTAAAACTTCTGTTAAAACTTCTCCCAAGCACCTGGTGTTTTCATATCTTGCATAACTCGAAATTAGCATCTGTAGAAGTATAAACAATCAAACACACACACACACAATATATATATATATATATATATATATATATATATATATATATATATATATATATATATATATATATATATATACACCCCTTAACAACAAGTTGTACTTGTAAATTATCAGAAACCATTTTCCCCCTATACTTACAGTACGGCCTGTACTCCTCCTTCATATGCACGTTTGTCTACACTTTGATGGGCTCAGCTAAGGACATCACCATCGGCCCCAGCGCTATCGCCTCCCTCATCACCGCATCCTTCGCCACCTCCGTCTCCCCCACCCTGCCCAACGGGGACAAGGACGCGACCTTGGCCATCCTGCTCTCTTTCACCACCGGACTTATCTTCATCGCCATGAGCGCCCTCAAACTTGGCATCATCGTCAGCTACATCTCCTTACCTGTCATCAACGCTTTCTCCTCGGCCGCCGCCATCACCATTGCCGTCAGCCAGATCAAGGTGAGTCAGAGTCAGCACCATCGTGTTGGGTACTGTAAAGTGAGAAACGCTTAGATTTTTGTATCTTTCACAAAACTATTAGTTCTGGCGTTAAAAGTATTAGGTGGATTCACTTCTGAATTGGGTTGCAAATGTTTAGACAAGCTGTATCAGTTCGTTGATTCGGGAAATTATCTGCAATGTTACATGGAAAAAAAACATGGACAAAAGCACATTGCTGTATTAGACCTAATTATCCTATTCATGTTTTTCTGTTTCAGACATTACTTGGCCTAAAGGGAATTCCCAACGATTTCATAGACAGCTTGAATGAGATTGGCAAAAAGTTGTATCTTACAAAGTAAGAGGTTGACAAATTAAAGTCAGTTAAAGATTTCATGCATATGTTATGACCCCCTCCCCCCGTACTGACCAATAACACGTGATCTCACTTGTATTTTCTACACAGCGTGTGGGACCTGACCATGGGCATGACCTGTATCGTTGTTGTGGTTCTCTTGAAAAAACTGCGAGAGATCAAGTGGAAAAACAACCCCGACAAACCACCATCCATGGGGGTGATGCTGTTGCGGAAATGTATTTTCATTTCTGGCGCTAGTAAGTCAATTCTAGTCAAACTCCCATCACCTATTTAAGGTATCCTTCATATTTGAAGAAAGAATGTTAAATTCTAATAAATAACTTTTTTTTCCCAAAATTCTACGCACGAGAAGTATTTTTTCTGGACTCGGTTAGTATGCGATGACGTCGCCAGTTCTGTTAATGATGACGTCACCAGTTGTGTTAACGATGACGTCAACTGTTACGTTAACGATGACTTTGCCAGCTCTGTTAACGATGACGTCACCAGTTATGTTAACGATGACGTCACCAGTTCTGTTAACGATGACGTCATCAGTTTTGTTAACGATGACGTCACCAGTTCTGTTAACGAAGAAGTCACCAGTTCTGTTAACGATGACGTCACCAGTTATGTTAACGATGACGTCATCAGTTTTGTTAACGATGACGTCACCAGTTCTGTTAACGAAGAAGTCACCAGTTCTGTAAACGATGACCTCACCAACGAATGCCCTATTCTGCAGGCTCTACAGCCATCGTGGTCATCCTGGCGGCCATAGTCCTGTACATCCTGGAGACCAACGGCATCCACGCCATCACACCCACGGGTAAAATCAAGCCAGGGATGCCAGACTTCCAGCCCCCCAAGTTCGACATCCACATCGGCAACTTGACCGTCACAACAGCCGAAGCGTTTGCTGTGAGTAGTCTGACATTACAAATCTACAAACATTTCTCTAATTTAAAAATAAACTATTCGCGTTAAATAGTGCTGATCAATTTGTATCAATATTTAAATGTCTATAAGTGACTAAAAGTTTAAAACCCGCTGCAATAGTGCTGAAAATATATTAAATGTAAGCTAAATTCACAGAAAATCTGTTTCTTCTCTAGTTCACAGTTTTATAGATAACATTTTTTTCAAAAGAAAGCAATGTTTAAAAAATGGATTTCTTCTACCTACAGAAACTTGGTGCCGGGATAGGAATTGTGCCGATCATCTGTCTCATAGAGGCCATGTCTGTAGGAAAATATTTCGGTAGGTTTTGATAATTTGTTTTATAGAATCCATGCCTGTAAGAGAAGTGGTTGGTACGTTCTAAAAAATGTCGACTGCAATGTTTGACACAACAGTTCAACAAATATATTAGAGTCAAACTTTTTTTTTATCTGACAACAGCCCGGGTTAATCAGTACAAGCTGGACCCTACTCAGGAACTTTTGGCCTACGGTATCGGCAACATTCTGACGTCATTCTTTCAAGGCTACACCATCACGGGGACTTTCTCCAGGTACGGTCACGTGGACGGACAACTACGGTAGAAGTCATACAGAACTTTAATCTACGGACATCTACGGTAGAAGTCATACAGAACTTTAAATATAAGTGTATATGTGTACTCACGTCTACGGACAACTACGGTAGAAGTCATACAGAAATTTAAATATAAGTGTATATGTGTACTCACGTCTACGGACATCTACGGTAGAAGTCATACAGAAATTTAAATATAAGTGTATATGTGTACTCACGTCTACGGACATCTACGGTAGAATTTAAACAGAAATCTAATTATAAGTGTTTGTATGTACTCATGTAAATTCTACAACCACTGAATTCATAGTGTTCACTTAACGTAGTTATAATCTAAGTAGATTTTGATGAAAATATTCGCGGAGAATGTCTGTGTCCTGGTCAGATGAGGCCCGATAGTTGGGGACCGCAAATCTTCTAGGAGAGAAAACACTAAAATCAAACAACTGCTGCCTTGTCGGTTGTTCTTGGTTGGACAAAGGCTATGGCAGCAAAACCATAAAGAAAAGCAGGCTGAAATCTGAGTGGAAGGCCTACATGGCGCTTAAAGGGTTGACACATAATACTTAATTCTGTGGGAGGAAAACCCAATCCAACATCACAGTTATGAACGTAGAACAAGCAGAAGAAGTTCTTTGTCATTCTTTAGGGATTTTTGTTTGTCCACATTCCAGGACAGCTATCAATGCCCAGTGTGGGGTCAAGACACCTTTAGGCTGCATCCTCACCGGTGTCATCGTCATCATCTCCCTGTTTTTCCTGACCCCCCTCTTCTACTACATCCCCAAATGTGCTCTGGCCGCCGTCATCATAGCCGCTGTCTTGGCCATGGTGGACTTTACCACAATCAAGATGATCTACAAGGCCAACAGTGAGTGACGTGTTTTGTATTGTTGTTTTAATAGAATTATTTATAAGAAATATTCTAAGAACCATACACCTGATTTACTTTCTCATAATTTTTTTTTTAAATTTAATTAACTCTTCTTGTTTATCCGAAGTTAATACACCATTCTGTAGAATGTTATTTAGACATTTAATATAATTTTTCTTTAGAAAAAAAAAATCCTGTTAAATCATAGCAGGTATTTTATTTATTGTTCACATTCTACTTAAACTTTATACTGAGTGGGTGTGACAGAAAGAAAGAGCCAGCTACATAAAGTTATTACCAAAATAATATTTTTCTACGAAGATTATAAGTTGTAGATTAGCGAATGAAATAGCTTGGCTTACTTTTGGTTAAATCACGTGATGTATTTACTTCCAGAGCTTGATCTGCTGCCTTACGCCATCACCTTCATCTGTACGTTGGTCATTGGCATCCAGGTATGATACGTCCTTTCAACTCGCATGCTCAAACTCATTGATACAGTTAGTTTTTGTTGAACATTTTAGACAACTGTCAATTATTCTTTCTTTTTTCAGTGGGGAATCTTCGTTGGCATCGGTGTGTCGCTCTTCATTCTCCTTTACCCCATCTCAAGACCCAAAATTTTAGTAAGTTGTTTCTTCTACAAAATTTACTGATTGAGAAAACTACTTTTTTTTCATTAACATGTGATTAATAAGTTACCAAATTTTTAAAAAATCTCTTACTTTTGTTGTCAAATGTTGTCTATAACTTTCAGTTCTCCAGCCAACAAGGATTTTTTATCGTGACCCCCACACATGGACTGACCTTTCCTGGAGCTGAGTTCCTGGAGATTAAGGCACTGGACAAGGCTTTGGAGGGTGAGAAAATATTTAGTTATTATTAGATGTTGTATTAAATGTCATTTTATTCTAAGGTAACTGTATATTTAAAATATATATTTTGAAAACATTTTTTCTTCAGTTGAAAAACCAAATAATGTGATCTTGAACATGGAACACGTCTCAAACATCGATTTCTCGGCAGCCCAGTCCCTCAGGTCTCTCATAGTGGAGTGTGAATTCCATGGGATGAAGTTGATTCTTGCACAGGCACAGGTGAGTTCCATGGGATGAAGTTGATTCTTGCACAGGCACAGGTGAGTTCCATGGGATGAAGTTGATTCTTGCACAGGCACAGGTGAGTTCTATGGGATGAAGTTGATTCTTGCACAGGCACAGGTGAGTTCCATGGGATGAAGTTGATTCTTGCACAGGCACAGGTGAGTTCCATGGGATGAAGTTGATTCTTGCACAGGCACATGTGAGTTCTATGGGATGAAGTTGATTCTTGCACAGGTATAGGTGAGTTCCATGGGATGAAGTTGATTCTTGCACAGGCACAGGTGAGTTCCATGGGATGAAGTTGATTCTTGCACAGGCACAGGTGAGTTCCATGGGATGAAGTTGATTCTTGCACAGGCACAGGTGAGTTCTATGGGATGAAGTTGATTCTTGCACAGGCACAGGTGAGTTCCATGGGATGAAGTTGATTCTTGCACAGGCACAGGTGAGTTCCATGGGATGAAGTTGATTCTTGCACAGGCACAGGTGAGTTCCATGGGATGAAGTTGATTCTTGCACAGGCACAGGTGAGTTCCATGGGATGAAGTTGATTCTTGCACAGGCACAGGTGAGTTCCATGGGATGAAGTTCATTCTTGCACAGGCACAGGTGAGTTCCATGGGATGAAGTTGATTCTTGCACAGTTACAGGTGAGTTCCATGGGATGAAGTTGATTCTTGCACGGGTGAGTTCCATGGGATGAAGTTGATTCTTGCACAGGTATAGATGTAAAAATACGGACATAGTGGTTTGCTACATCGAGATACAATATTTTTCCTTTCTTTGCATGTCTCCAGCTACTAGACTCGTGGGTTCCCACCTGGTTTTTGCCTCTGGTCACCTTGAAACACCTTTGTGTAGATGAGGTGTGCTGTACGGAACCGAACTCGCAGCTTTCGGGTTATAATTTTAACATTCTACCGCTAGACCACTTCTTCACCACCCCCTCTTAAGTATGTTCAAACATACCAAGAAAGAAGTCAACGGCGTATATGGCGCATAACAAATTGACATGTAGTATTTAATTTTGATTGGAGGAAACCCTTTATAGCATTACAATTAAAAACACAGAAGAAAAACACATAGTACTTGTTTAAATGTATCTTTATATATTTCAGAAACGGGTTCGACGCCAACTCAAGATTGCCAAAATTGCCAACCTTGTGCTGGTCAAAACAATACAGGACGCCATTGACAAGTTTTCTAAGCCGTCAATGGGTCAGTATGTCAGAAATAGTGTACACCATTTTCTGTGGTACACATTTGCTTTTTTGACAACATTGTGTATGGTGTACACATAACACCAATATTAAGTAGTATATATATATATATATATATATATATATATATATATATATATATATATATATATATATATATATATATATATATATATATATATATATATATATATATATATATATATATATATATATATATATATATATGTATATATATATGTATATATATATATGTTTATATATATATATATATATATATATATATATATATATATATATATATATATATATATATATATGAGTTGTGTACACAACGCGTCTTTATCAATCTATGATATCGATGTATTTAAGGTCCTTATAGACGTGCTTATATAACCCCTTTTACATGTGTTTATATACCCCTATTGTATATATATATATATATATATATATATATATATATATATATATATATATATATATATATGGCTATATACCCGATCCAGTGGCGGAACTAGAAATCAAAGGCTCCCCCGCAAAGAAAAAACTAGGGCCCCCTATATATATATATATATATATATATATATATATATATATATATATATATAGGAGGCCATATAAATATATATATATATATATATTTATATATATATAATCTATATCCAGAGCAATTTAGTCTACTTCCTTGCAATATATAACCATTCTGAGAGAACAAATCAGAAAAATTTTAGTCCAACCTTATTTTGAGTATAGAAAGTGACACAAACATGCTGGTCAAAAATATATAAAGACGTTAGCTTGATTGTTTATTGATATGTTTATTTTTTTCATTTTTGGCTTTTTTAATATCAATTTTGAAAACATTGATTTTTATATATATACTATTGTATAGTACGTCTTATTTAAGTAACAATTCAGAGAATCAATTGCTTTTTAATATACATAGTACAAAACTATTTAAATGAGCTTCGTGGGCATCCCTATTTTAAAGAAGGGCAGTAAGTCATGGAAGTAGTGTGAATTTTTGCGTACCTTTTAAACTATAGCTCTTGTAGATTTTAAAATATTTTTCTACGCAACAATCTCTGCTATAGTAGACCTGTTGTTTTTTTTTTTTTTTTTTTTTTACAAAACCACCTTCAAGATGCATGAAAAACATAATTTTTGAAAAAAAAAATCATTGTTTTTTGGTCGGAACTGGGCCCCTAAACGTCCTGGGCCCCCCCGCATTGCGGGGTCTGGCGGTATGGTAGTTCCGCCCCTGACCCGATCCCATAATGTGGTTATAAAACTCCTAAATATGTTTTTCTACACTTCTTCCTTTATTTATGTGCTTTTATACTTCCCGCCTTATATGAGTGGTTATACGTCTCATTTTATATGTGGTTATATAACCCCATTACATATGTTATTTCCTATATACAATCTGTCATTCAAAACTAAATCTTAGAGCAATCGTATAATAGTAGCTAAAGGTTAAGAAAATCGGCTGCACTATTGCCAGTGGCGTAGCTAGGGGAGGGAGGGGGGTCGCCCAAAAGGGGTAGAAAAATTAATTGAAAAGCTTATTTTAAGCTGAAGTATTTAATTATATAATGTCAAAGTTACGAAAATAAACGACTTCAAGGCGTTTCACACCGATTTAACTGCACCGAAAAAGAAAATCTAATCGGACAGTAACTGGTAAGAAGCTACACAAACCTTTTCAATTTATTTACTTGTGGGGGGGGGGGGGCGCTTTTTCAAAGACAGGAATAACTATAAATATCATGGAAGGGAGGGGCGCAAAAATGTACATTCCGCCCCGGGCGCCGGAATCGGTCGCTACGCTTCTGACTATTGCCGTGCCTTTTACTAAAAATGTGTCATCAATGGTGCCCTGTCAAAACGGCCCGGGACAAATCGGCCCCGTCAAAACGGCCCCGTTAATACGACCCCGTCAAATCGACTCCCGACAAACCGACCCCGTCAAAATAGCCCCGTCAAAAGGGCCCCGACTTATTGGCTCCCGTCAAATGGGCTCCCGTCATATTGACTTGCGACATATAGGCTCCCGACAAATGGGCTCCCGATATTTAGGCTCCCGACAAATGGACTCCCGACATATTAACCCCTGACAAATAGGCTCAGGACATATTGGCTCCCGACAAAGCGGCTCCCGACATATTGGCTCCCGGCAAATGGGCTCACGACATTTTGGCTACCGACAAATGGGCTCCCGACATATTGGCTCCCGGCAATTGGGCTCCCGACATATTGGCTTTTGACAAAATGACTCCCGACATATTGGCTCCAGAAAAATAAATGATATGACCACTATTGGCATAAAAGTAACCATTGTGTCCTACCTCCAATACCACCATAACCTCTTTTTAATGCCCGAATGAAATTATTTTTTCATGAACCAACATTAATTCACAAACAAATCGAGCCCTTAACAGCTAAATTCCACCAATTCTAAAGTTTTGATAATGTTTAATTTACAACAGAAAAGATCTTCTGTTGCTTAAAAGCGAGCACAGAAGTGTAAATGTATGATATACATGATGTTAACATGATAACAGCATTTTGTTTTGATAACCTACAAGCACAGTGGCGTAGCGAGGTCGGGTGTCACACCGTGCGGCACTTAATGGTGTCACCACCCCCCCCCCAGAGGCGTTGCGACCCTTCCCGGGGACAAACTTTCAAGTTTTCGATTTGCACCCCCCCCCCCCAAACTTTCGATTTGCACCCCCACCCCTCAACTTTTTCTCTATATATTTTGCTATTTTTTGCCTTGGTGTCACCCCCCTAAATGGTGTCACCCGGTGCGGTCCGCACCCCCCGCCCCCCCCCCCCTCGCTACGCCCCTGTACAAGCATGTTGCAGTTAGGAAGGTACAGCGTGGACCTTTCTCCCCACACAATGAGTTGGAACAGCCTATAACCGACTCAATTACGGATGTCATAGATAGATGACCCTTAAATTAAAACATACTATATTTTATAATAGATAAACTAATATAAAAATAAGGCCTGCCGAACAAGAGATGCATACGTTGTATTACATAAGAGTGTTGGATAAGCTAACTCTAAAGAATATTGATGAAGGGGTTCCGCTGGCAGATGTCATATTCAATGAGACCGCTTTGCCGGGAGACTTAGTCTCTACAGAAACGATATTGTCAGTGCAGTGGCGTAGCTAGGATTTTTGGGCCCCTATGCAAAAATTATCACACACATATATATGTGTGTGTGTGTGTGTGTGTGTGTGTGTGTGTGTGTGTGTGTGTGTGTGTGTGTGTGTGTGTGTGTGTGTGTGTGTGTGTGTGTGTGTTGGCCTACATAGGCCTAAAATTTATATATATGCCACATACTGGTACACGTACGTGTTTAAGCTTTAATCACTGCTGACTTAATAGTAACGATGTTTATCTACAGTCTGTTTATAATACAGTTGGATGTAGCATTGTTTTCTTTATAGTTTACGTTTACGTCGTGGTGTCACCCCCCCCCCCCCCCCCCCTCTTGATATAATTTTCTATTTGTACTTAGAAGACTATTTAACTTTAACTAATGGATCTGGAAAATAGCATTTCATTCTATAAATTTTACAATTTTTTGCCTTTGGTGTCACCCCCCCCCCCCTAAATGGTGTCACCCGTTGCGGTCCGCACCCCCCGCCTCGCCTTCGCTACGCCTCTGCGTTAGGCTACAGAGGAGTTAAACGAAGAGATCAACTTCTACTTACGATGGATATTTTTTTAGTATATAAATATTCTGAAGGCAACATTTTGTATTTTATATGTCCTGATTTTGTATTTATACTATATTATTATGCTTGCCTACTACTGCTAAAAAGTTTATTTATAGGCTGATTCTCTCAATGTCTTGCACGACAAAGTGATATAGCCTGTAGTGTTATTATAACGATTGGGCTCTGTTTGACCCACAAACACTGAATCCCACTGCCGAAAAGGTGGGGGGGGGGGGCTTTTTGGAACTTTTAACCTTTTTCTTTTTTAAAATTATTTATATGTAACAAATATTAAAATTCCATTGTAAAAATTTTAATTTTTTATGAGGGAAAAGGGCCCCTATGTGCCTTGGGCCCCCATGCCTTGCTTACGCTAGCTTTACGGTAGCTACGCCACTGTGTCAGTGGTCCTTTTGTCTGGAGCCAAATTGACAGGAGCCTTTTTGTCGGGAGCCAAAATGACGCTAGCCTATTTGTCGGGAGTCGTAATGACGGGGGCCGTTTTGTGGAGAAACTAAATGGCGGGAGCCTATTTGTCGGGAGTCGTAATGACGGGGGCCGTTTTGTGGAAAAAACTAAATGACGAGAGACTATATGTCTGGAGCCAAAATGACGGGAGCCTATTTGTTAGGAGCCTTATTGACTGGAGCCCTTTTGTCGGGAGCCTATATAACGGGAGCCTATTTGTCGGTAGCCTAAATGACGGGAGCCTATTTGTCGGGAGCCTATATGACGGGGTCCATATGTCGCTGGCCCTTTTGACGGGGCCGATTTGACGGGGTCGTTTTGACGGGGTCGTTTTGTCGGGGTCGTTTTGACGGGGCCGTTTCGTCATTGGCCGAATTGACGCCGCACGGTCATCAATATGGCACTAACATGACATTTACATATGATTATCATGACATCAATATGGCACTAACATGACATTTACATATGATGATCATGACATCAATATGGCATTAACATGACATTTCTCCTCCTCCCTAGATTCTCACGAGTTTGAGGTCCCTCCCCCCAACGAAAACAATGGAGCGGACGATGCTTTCATCATGAGCCGCCTATAAGAGGACATTATACATGTGTACATATCTGTACATAGGATACCTCACTTGTAAAGTTGACAGGACATGTGTACAAAGATAAAACGCTTAAAAGAAAACGTTGCAAATGCAACTTAAAGTTGACATATATCAAATCTACAAAACATTTTAGCCGTATGAAAAGTGTAAAGAAGTCTAGTATATATTTTAGCCGTATGAAAAGTGTAAAGAAGTCTACACTACATGTTAGCCATATGAAAAGTGTGTAAAGAAAGCAAGCTTAGATGCAACATAAAACCAATAAGTTAATGAACTATGTGATAATCTTTGTATATAAAGAATTTTTAGGCAATTATGGCGTCTACGAAAGATGGTAATTCCCCCCCCCCCCCCCAATACTCTTCCACTTTGGCCTAATTCACCCTATTTTTTCCTCGTCCCCCCCCCCCCTCACCCTACGTAGACAATACCTTCTATAGCTAGTATTGTGTAAATGTATGCTATATTGCAATGGTGAAAATGTATAAACAATTAATTTTTTTCCTAAATAACTGTTATTTAAATACAAAAAGTAGATTCAAAATTCAGTTTTACAATACATCTCCGTGTGGACTTTCCCATTGGCTGACCCCTAAAGTATTCAAGTCGAGTATTTAGTTAGGCGTATATCGCGTTAAAATATTTATACTGGATTATGTATATTTTAAGAAGTGATCCCTATTAATTGGGATAACTCATCCAAGATGACATGTATGTAAGAGTTATGCGACTTTTTTTATGGATGAGGAAAACGGGCTAAAGCTAGATGTTTTTTTTTCAAGGAGTTGGTTCCATTGTTAAAGCGCAGTATTTGTACACAGACTTGGCATCATTATAACTAGAAACTTTTATTTTTCTAGAATACTCTAATCTTCTATAAAAGATAACGACATACATAAAGACAGCGACACATATAAAGATACAATACAGATAGATATACAGATATCAACACACATAACCATGACACAAATATGCCCCCTGTCTCGCTTGAATGTATGTCTGTATATAATAATTTATGTAAACTTTCTATGTGAAGTAACTGAAACGAATCGCGTAGTACTGACTTACATTGCTGTGTTCTTTAGTGTAAGCTATACCCTTATCTCTCACCCCCCCCCCCACCCCAGTTGTGAGGGTCTAGCTCAGGTTGGGGTGATTGACATGTCACTAATGACTGACACACATTATAGGTTGTCACTAATGACTGACATAGTTTACATATTGACAGCAGTCACTAATGACTGACGGAGATACTAAACAAACAAAATATAGTTAAATAACTTGTTATGTGATACCTATTTTAAAAGACGTATTACTTCTGATACATGTATTATTGAGTGAAAATCGCTCGGATATTGGGCTAAATTATGCTTATGTCAGTTTTTAAATAGGAGATAGCAAATTGTTACATAATTATTATCTAGCATTTCTTCTTAGAATACGAAGATCAACATAATTTGTCGATCAGTTTAAGAGAAATTTTAAAGTGAAGTTCTGAAATTGGGATATTTTCGCCACTTAGGCGGATCCAAATTAAAACATTTGGCACCAGATCCAAAAGTTTAAAATTGCTTTTGTAATATAATTCAGCGCAACTAAATTAGTAGTATGATTCATTTAATGTTTGTCGTGTATATACACATTTTAAGTGTGGGATATGAGCACCCATCCCCCCCCCCCCCCCCCCCATCACATGGACCCGCCTTTGTACGTAACAAAATGTTTTTGTCCATTTGTGATAACACGTGTGATACAAAATTATGTCGCGCGAACTAACGCGAAATTAGGCCAGTCTTAATGTTGATTGTCTGCTAAATTTATGTTAGATTTTGAAAAGTATCGAAAATGTCTCTTTATCTAATTTTATTTCATTATTTTGTTTGAAAACATGTCTTTGTATTAAAATTTAATGTGATAATAATGTTAGAATAATATATGTATTTTTGTATGTAGAAATGTTTTTAGAAATAACCATTGGAGTTTAAATTTTACAAACTTTGTAAGCCTACAGTGCTACAAATAAAGAATAGTTTACTACATTTTTTTCGTCTTGATAAAATTATTTTTTATAAACTTATATACACGATCATTACATGATTTAGAGAAAAAAAATTATTATGACTACAATTGGTCACGAGTGACGTAGCAGTGAAGACTACGTCAGACCATGACGTCAATACACCTACTGCTTGCACTCGGGGTGTTATGTAAATTAGTTCTCGGGTGGTGGTGGGGGGGGGGGGGGGGGGGGGTAAGGGAAGCAGGTAAACAAAACGTGGATCTGAAACGTGACAGGGAGGTGCGTGTTTTTTCACGCGAGGATCACGTCGGTCACACGGTTGTGCTGTCAACCAGTGAACTTTGCGGGTACACGTGAGGCATAAGGGACACACACGGGAGACACGTGACTCCATAAACTAAATATAATCTCAAAGTCTTGAAACTATCAACCTACGACATCATCAAAACCCAAACTATCAACCTACGACATCATCAAAACCCAAACTATCAACCTACGACATCATCAAAACCCAAACTATCAACCTACGACATCATCAAAACCCAAACTATCAACCTACGACATCATCAAAACCCAAACTATCAACCTACGACATCATCAAAACCAAAACTATCAACATACGACATCATCAAAACCCAAACTATCAACCTACGACATCATCAAAACCCAAACTATCAACATACTACATCATCAAAACCCAAACTATAAACATACGACATCATCAAAATCCAAACTATCAACATACGATATCATCAAAACCTAAACTATCAACATACGACATCATCAAAACCCAAAATATCAACGTACAACATTATCAAAACCAACATACGACATCGTTCATGCCCAAAATTATTAACATACGACATCGTTAATACCCAAAACTATCAACATACGACATCATCAAAACCCACATACGACATCGTTCATACCCAAAACTATCAACATACGACATCGTTCATACCCAAAACTATCAACATACGACATCGTTCATAACCCAAAACTATCAACATACGACATCGTTCATACCCAAAACTATCAACATACGACATCGTTAATACCCAAAAACTATCAACATACAGCTTTATTAAAACTCAGACATTCACCATCACTGATGCCAACATTATCAACACCAACATTTATCAAAACACAATATTTTTCTTCCACCCTTATGGAGATAAAACATCATTAAAGCTCAACATTTACAACATCTGCCTTCATTTTCAAAGTCTAACCAATGACGGTGAGACCAATGACGGTGAGACCGGATGGTGAGACTCAGTGGCGTAGCGAGGGTGGAGCGAGGGGTGCGGATAGCATCGGGTGACACCATTTAGGGGGTTGGGGTGACACCAAGGCAAAAAATAGCAAAATAAATAGAGAAAAATGATAATTCCACTGAATTAAGTAATTAATTCGAGTGTTAAATAGTCTTTTAAGAGCAAATTTGACAAATCCCGACAAGGGTTGAGGGGGGTACAAATCGAAAGTTTGAGGGAAGGTACAAATTGAAACTTGAAAGGTTGATCCAGAGTTTGTCCCCGGGCGCCGGAAAGGGTCGCTACGCCTCTGGGAGGGTGACACCATTAATTGCCGCACCGGGTGACACAGCTAGGCATAATCTCTATTAACTTTAGAAGACAAGTTAGAAATTTTTTCATTGTTTTGCATTCAAACATCGGTATCATTCCTCTATTACCGGTTGATACAATTCAAAAAAGATAAACTAGGTTCTTCCATCCCTTATTTTTTATCATGTTGCAGTGTGCATAGCTTCTGTTTAATTAAATGTTTCTGTTTGGCCTCTTGTTCCTATTTCGGGAAGATTAGTTCTTACAGGTCTCACCGTCTGGTATCACCATCACTAGTCTCACCAGGGGCGTAGCGAGGTCGGGTGTCACCCCCCAGAGGCGTAGCGACCCTTCCCGGGGACAAATTTTCAAATTTTCGATTTGCACCCCCCCCCCCCCCTCAAACTTTCGATTTGCACCCCCTCCCCCCAAACTTTCGATTTGCACCCCCCTTCAAACTTTCGATTTACACCCCCTCAAGTTTTTCTCTATATTTTGCTATTTTTTGCCTTGGTGTCACCCCCCCCCCCCATGGTGTCACCCGGTGCGGTCCGCTCCGCCCGCCCCCCCCCCCCTCGCTACGCCTCTGACCACATGCCAGTTAAAGAAATACGTATTTAATGTCAGACGGATCATAAAACTTCATCATCGTGTCTACGGTATCTGCCTTGTACGAACTTGCGTCCCATTCACCTTCCCTGTGTTTGTCTGCCGGTGTGTGGACCCGGAACACTTGGGACGTTAAGAAAAACAAACCTAGCGCATGCGCACACTGGTGAGGTACACGAGTCTCGGAACATTCCAGACGAATTAGGTGCAGCGACACTACTAGCTTGCTCCATGCAAGGTTCAACAAAATGGCATCAAAATAATAAATACTTGGTCGCTTAACTCAAGGTTCAACATAGTGGCATCAAAACAATAAACTGCACGTATATGTTACGTCCACATATTGAATTAAACATCGAATCATGTACACTTTGAAACAAATATAAATCTCGTATCCTGCTAAGATGTAAGGCTAAAACGGTGGAGCTCGTGTTTTTTTGTTTTTTAAACTCAGCTGAGCGGATAAATAAATTACAGCATATATATCTACACTAGGGTCAATCTATACCGTTAACGACTTCACGTTTTTACCCCCCCCCCCTCCTCTTCCCCCAAACATCACACATCCTTACAAAAAACCAGAATTCACGTATTTATATGACGTCACACCTCAGCCTGACGACGCACTCAAAATTCTATTACATTCAAAAAGATAATTTTTTTTTAATTATTTACTGAGCTCGTTCAATATTGAGTACATCGATCAAATTTTAGTGCAATTTTTTTAAAAATGTTTTTCGGCAACATGAAATAACCGCTAATATTCAGTTTCTAACATTATTTCAAATCTCCTACCCCGAGTCTTATATTGTTTCTAAAGTTCGAAACTAACCCACCCCTGCCTCTAGGAGTAAGGCATCATTTAAGGACCTGCCATTTTAATTATTAGCCATCGAGCAATCAAGTAAATAGAATTAGAGGTCACGACACTAAGGACGAATTATTATTGTATATTAATGTTTTGATTTTACTATTAATACTGTTAATATATTCTACGTCTCTAGACAGTAGCGTAGCGAGGGGGGGGGGGGGCGGGGGGGGGGGGGACATGTAAATCTTGAGGGGGGGGGGGGGGGTGCAAATCGAAAGTTTGAGGGGGGGGTGCAAATCGAAATCTTGAGGGGGGGGGGTGCAAATCGAAAAGTTTGCCCACGGGCGCCGGAAAGGGTCGCTACGCCTCTGTCTCTAGATAATAATACTAGATAATAATAGCTTTTTTCTACGCAAAAAAAAAAGAATGTGTATTGAAGTGTTTTAGCAGAAATTGTTTTTTAAGAGAAAATAAATAAAATAAATCATATATTTATATTTTATATATCTAGTTTACATACTACTTACATACAACACATTCAATATTGTATATGTAAATTTATCCATAATAATAAATATTACCGAAAGTATTAAATCAACATATAAGCAAATAGGCTCACAGTTAAATGTTTTAAATTAATAAATTGTCAGCTTTTGGGTCTACTAAATTTTTGTCAAAGTCCACATCTGGAAGGGGGGGGGGTCGAAAATTGACCGACGGGGACGGGAACGTGAAGGTCTAAGATTCTAAATAATTGTAGACGTCATTAAAGAATAAACCATTAATGGAGGTTGAATCATTTTTATGGATGCAGCAAAATATTTTAAGTCAGCAACTTCACAGGAATGTAATATATATATATATATATATATATATATATATATATATATATATATATATATATATATATATATATATATATATATATATATATATATAATAAAGTTCTGAAAGAAATATTTTCGTTATTAGGCGAGACACGGAAGGCTTTAACAAGGGCGAACTCAATACATGGATCCAAATATTTTTGTCGCAATAGTTTTGTTACAGTTGCAATATACACGGAGAGTTTTGTCTAATCCGCTTTCTGTATGACAAAACTAATTAATGGGCCAATGAAAAATACATGTTAATTTATATTGCCTCAATAAGTCGTTTACTTTTAAATCTGCTAACTAAAGTAATTGTAATTAATGAACGCGGCAATAATTGAAAGCTAAAACAAACAAACTAAATACTAATTTTAGTCATGTCTAGTAACGTAAATAACCTTATCAACTTACCTGGACGTGACAACCTTGGAAGTCGTCTGCCTGCCCTTCATATCTGGAGAGAAAACCGAAGACATCTCGTTTCTTCAAGTTTTTGTTGCGATTTTCAATTGTCTGATTTTTGTATTTCAATTTCTCCATATAAAAAAAATCCTCAACAGAATTAGAGTATTATATTGCAGGGGTCAAGTCATGAAGTATCACAAAACATCTTTATAAAGTTCTTGCAGGCTCCATTAAGGTAACTATTCCAGTGGTTAAGAGTTTAAGTATCACAAAACATCTTTATAAAGTACTTGCAGGCTCCATTATGGTAACTGTCCCTATGGCATCAGAAATTACGGCCACTGTGACAGACAGACTCAAACCCCCATCTAACCATCCATGGCTAGTGACTTTATACCTCGGCCACAGAAGTGCCTTTTGTTTTGGTCTGTGAGTGCAGATCCACTCATGAGCACCATTCAGGTAAAACTCAGTGAAGCACGACCACCTCTGTGTCGGGCAATGACGTAACGTTTCTCCACCAATCACGTCAAACGACGCATCTTAGCTCGGACATCACCAGCTGATGACGTCACACTGCTGGACCTACGCTGAGGAAATACAAATAGACACGTCATTAGATGCAAAAACAGGAAGAACACACATATGACATTCTACATAGCGATGTAGTTTATCTTTAACCAAAACATGAACAAAACGTGACATTCTTCACAACGATGCAGCAAATTTTAACCAAAGCCTTGACCAGTTTGAACCGGCTTCTAGCCCAGCTCTCACTGTTGACGGCTGCTGATATCAAACATCCATCTCGCCGTCTGCTCTCAACTTACACGTGGTAGTCACCGTGTCTTACAGTACAATTAAACAAACTAACAATCCCACTTTAAATGCATCGTTAAGAGCGATAACAACTAAACTGTTGCTCAATTACAATTGTCTTTTTAATCTCGCTAATTAAACTCGGCTTAACGGGCCCATGCGATCTTTTGCAGTTTACGATTTTGCAAAACTCGAAGAATCCCATTGTCCCATTAACACAATAAATTCACATCGTGCTTGCTACTTTCTCTACTCTCTGCTATAGAAGAAAGTATTATTAGTAAAAAAAAATGTAACAACTAAAAAGAAGAAGACGCTCCAACATATACGTATAAGGCCCTATGCTCCTAAGCTTGCTGTCCTGGAAAAACAAGGAGACAAATATTGATGGTTGCATCTAAATTGTCTACACTATAAACTGTGTGCATCAAAACGTCTCAATAATAACCGTTTAATTAAAGTTTTGACAAACAACTGATGTGATTGCAACAAGCAAATATAGTTTGAACAGACTAGCACTCGCATATAAAAAACGATAACATTTATTCAAATAACTAAGCAATTTAATGTAAATAACAGTTTTAGAAAACAAATTGTTATACCATTTCGATGTATACCTTTTAAAGTTTGCAAAAATGTGCGTCAATGGTCGAGCTTGCTATAACTGTCTGGTTATATAAGAGTTAGTTTACATGTTGAGGGCACGTGGACGTGCAGGGTACAGGAATGTTGTAGTGAACTTTACACCAGAGCTACAGGATGGTGTAGTGAACTTTAGAAAACGTGTGCCTCCACCTACGTCATCACTCGGGAGCACCAGCGGCCGTACAATACACGGCATCCTCACCCACCCCATCCCACAAGTGACGTCAGCTTCAAGGCCACACGTGCCATGAACATGACATTCGGTAATTTCGTGAAATTGACGTCACCAAGGGATGGCTTGAAATTTTACTTTTTTTAATCTGATTGGTTGTTTAAAATTTGCATAAATTATTCCTTCCATACATTAGCCAAAGCACAGAGCAGCAGACAGACCAGTTACGTGGTTCGGGATTTCTTGCTCATTTTTTCTGATTTTTTTTTGGAGGCTGTTTTAAAGTATTTTTTTTTTAAAGTTTAGAATTTGAAGTCTGAGTATCGCACAGTCACAGAAAACAGACATAAAAGTCTGAGCATCGCAGATCGCAGAGAACAGGCAATAAAATGGTCTATACTACAGACTCTGGGAACACGAAGTCAGACTTGGCCAAAAATGGCGAGCCAGTATTAGTTACTCTAGTTCCAATGGAGACTTCCTTGCACATGGGCACTGAGGTGAGTACACTTGATACCATGTGTGTGAGTACACTTGATACCACTGTTTGAGTACACTTTGTGAGTACACTCGGTACTGTTGTATTGCGCGTGATTGTCGCAAACTCTCCACTCTCGGGAGGCTGACGTCAAGCTTGAGTTGCCTAACTTTCCGTTTCCAAACAGTTTTTAAAAAAAAAGAAATTTCTCTCAATTGTTCATGACTAAGTCATACAAATTAACAGTTTTGTTTAATCCATGAGAACTCAAAGATTTTTTGCAAATTGTTAAATTATTGGACCCCTAATGTAAAAAATTATAGCCTTAAAATTAGTAAAGAAAATTATTTGAAAAGTGGGTTTTGGCTTATTTTTAAACAACTAAAAAATTATACTATTGTCTTTCGTGATTTTATTTATATATAAGTGACGATTAGCGATGATTAATGTAATTTGTAAACGTCTAAAATGCTGAAAGTGTGGGTTTTTTTTTTACTTCACTTACATCCTGCATTGAGTGATGTAAATCTTGGTTTATATTTTCATCGTTTTCAACAAATAGCTATAAAACAGTCCCGCACAAATTAAAGACAATATTTGGTATTAAGATACACATATGGGGGACAAACATTCCGAGCGATGGCTTACACTCCGGATGTCAACAAAGAAAAGTAAACAAAAGATGACGTCAATGAAACCGACCCTGAAGGAAGCCACCAGTGACGTAGCAGGTTTATTTTTAGCCCCGTGACAAACACTAATGTACCCTCAGTGCACTAAACCTATACTTTTGAAGGGTGGCGGAGATATTTTTAGCCTGCTGGGGCAGTTTATGTAGCACGGCTCCTGGGGTCACTGGAGCGGAACTGCCCCGTAGGAGCTCGTCTTGGTTAGCAGGCCAGGGGTGGTGGGGGATGTGGGGGGGGGGGGGGGTTGTAGTGATGGACACTCGTGATTCACCCCAGGTCCGATGGATAGGTTGGAGCTTACTTTTTATATATATATATATATATATATATATATATATATATATATATATATATATATATATATATATATATATATATATATATATATCGTAGCCTAGCCTAGCATAGGCATAGGCATAGGCATAGGCATAGGCATAGGCATAGGCATAGGCATAGGCATAGGCATAGCCTGGCAGGGCATGGCTTGGCATAGCATAGCATAGCATGGCATAGCATAGCATAGCATAGCATAGCATAGCATAGCATAGCATAGCATAGCATAGCATAGCATAGCATAGCATAGCATAGCATAGCATAGCATAGCATAGCATAGCATAGCATAGCATAGCATAGCATAGCATAGCATAGCATAGCATAGCATAGCATAGCATAGCATAGCATAGCATAGCATAGCATAGCATAGCATAGCAATAGTTTGAATGGAAACATAATACGGGTGCAATTACATTTATCCTGATATTATACAGCAATTTATCAATCCACTTGCATATGCTCTTATGCCAGGCATGGTGTAACTTTAGATGGAATTTAGAAACATTCTTGCACCATGATTGGCAGTCGTCTTCTGCACAAGGAATTGGATTTAGATCATGATAGGCATTTAGCCTGTTATCTCTACACATGGCTTTAATGTTAACCGTCGTGCACTTTACCGCTCAACTACACTCCCCACACAATTGTTAACCAAAGAAAACTGTATGCACTTATTATACCATTTCGAACGCCAGCTTACTTGTTATAGAAACTTTATTTTCTTCTTAAGTTTGGTGCATGAGGATAAAACGTATCTGTTGTTGTTTGTATGCTACCAGTGTTTCTTCCGGGGGGGGGGGGGGGGAAGGGGCGAACTTAAATTTCCGGTGGGGGGGGGGGGCGGACACTGTTAAAAGTTTTAAATTTTTAAATATAGATTCCATTTCGTTCGGGGGGGGGGTAGACTATCTTCGGGGGGGGGGGGGGGCCTCCAAGAAACTTTGTAGGTGACACCAAACTCATGTGTTGTTTGTATGTGACGCCTAACGTATCTGTTATAGGCTGCACCAAACGGAGTGAACGGCTCAAGTAAAGCCCACACCAAAGAGAAGACAGCTGAGGTAGACAACAATAAAGCCACAGAGATAGACTACGGTCTAGGTGACGAGTTAAACAAGCCCCCAGTGCCAGTCAAAGACCAGATCAAAGATTGCTGCAAGGGTTGTTTTTCTTTGGACACTCTCAAAAAGCGGTTCCCTATTATTGGCTGGTTGCCCAAATACAAGTAGGTTCACAAAACAGAATTAATTCACAAAATACAAGTAAGCTCACAAACTACAAGTTAGCTCACAAAATACAAGTAAGTTCACAAAATACAAGTAAGTTAACAAAATACAAGTAATTTCACAAAATACAACTAATTTCACAAAATACAAGTAAGTTCACAAAATACAAGTAAGTTCACAAAATACAAGTAAGTTAACAAAATACAAGTAATTTCACAAAATACAAGTAAGCTCACAAACTACAAGTTAGTTCACAAAATACAAGTAAGTTCACAAAATACAAGTAAGTTAACAAAATACAAGTAATTTCACAAAATACAAGTAAGCTCACAAACTACAAGTTAGTTCACAAAATACAAGTAAGTTCACAAAATACAAGTAAGTTAACAAAATACAAGTAATTTCACAAAATACAAGTAAGTTCACAAAATACAAGTAAGCTCACAAAATACAAGTAAGTTCACAAAATACAAGTAAGTTCACAAAATACAAGTAAGTTAACAAAATACAAGTAATTTCACAAAATACAAGTAAGCTCACAAACTACAAGTTAGTTCACAAAATACACGTAAGTTCACAAAATACAAGTAAGTTAACAAAATACAAGTAATTTCACAAAATACAAGTAAGTTCACAAAATACAAGTAAGTTCACAAAATACAAGTAAGTTCACAAAATACAAGTAAGCTCACAAAATACAAGTAAGCTCACAAAATACAAGTAAGTTCACAAAATACAAGTAAGTTCACAAAATACAAGTAAGCTCACAAAATACAAGTAAGCTCACAAAATACAAGTAAGTTCACAAAATACAAGTAAGCTCACAAAATACAAGTAAGCTCACAAAATACAAGTAAGTTCACAAAATACAAGTAAGCTAACAAAACTAAGCTCAGGCAACAGAAGGAAAGCAAGAAATAACATTATGCTTAAAAAATGCATGGAATGGCCCTTCACTACCCCACTACATCCACGCCTTCAACTAATCTATATCTCTAGAAACCACATCTACACCCACATCCACATCGCTTTCTCTCCCTAGAACTGTTTACTGTTTTCAGAGTTTAGTTTACATAGATGTACGAATAGTTTATGTGGTTTAATGAACTTAAGATTTCAGAAGTTAAACCTCCAAGTGTTCTCTGAACATTGTTGTAATTAGGCAACACGTAGTGTTCAAAACATGAAGTAACATGAGTTAATATTTTAAGGTAGCACAGTTTATTTTAAAAGTGAATTTTATGCTCATCTCAAACAGTTTGTTCAGCTTACAATGTGACATTATAGCCGGCATCACCGTGGGTCTGACCCTCATACCCCAAAGTTTGGCTTTTGCTGGAATTGCAGGTCTACCTCCACAGGTATGGGAACATTGAATTAATTTATATGACATGAAAGGTAAAAACCTTTAGCCGTAAAAAAAAATATGATTTTCGATCAGACGGTCTTTATTGCAGGTAAGGTAGAGTTCATTAGCTTTTTTTCTCACTATGAGAAGATGTATTACGTCAGCACAATGCCCCCCTACACTTTTCCATGACTTATTTCTGAACCAATAGAAGATAGGTGTTTTCACGGTCGTCCTATGGTATGGTCTCTTTCATCTTGAGGTAAATCTGACAAAAGTAATCTAGCGGTAAATCGGACTGACTTTAAATCCTTGTGCTAGGTTTTTATCAGATCCTCAACCTTTTCAGAGCAACAATAAACAATGATACTATTATGTGACTGCTATTTATCATGAGGGAAGATGAAGTTCAGTTCATCTGTTACAGTGGCCTCGGTATATGAAGCGATAGTTAGCTACCCATCAGACTTATACCCGGATTCGAACTCGAAGAAATTCGGGTTAGTAGTCTAACGCTCTACCAGGGGCCTAGCGAGGGGGGGGGGGGCGGGGGGTGCGGACCACACCGGGTGACACCATTTAGGGGGGTGACACCAAGGCAAAAAATAGCAAAATATATGGAGAAAAAGTTGAGGGGGGTGCAAATCGAAAGTTTGAGGGGGGGTGCAAATCGAAAGTTTGAGGGGGGGATGCAAATCGAAAACTTGAGGGGGGTGCAAATCGAAAGTTTGAGGGGGGGGGGTGCAAATCGAAAATTTGAAAGTTTGTCCCCGGGAAGGGTCGCTACGCCTCTGTGGGGGTGACACCATTAAGTGCCGCACCGGGTGACACCCGACCTCGCTACGCCACTGCGCTCTACCGCTAGGCCACGCTGTCCCTGATATTTATGGCAAGTGCGAAACTACACGAAATTATTATTTTTTGTTTTGAGATAGTTTATAATTTTACCTTTCAAGTCCAAAAGTACATTATACAGTTAATAATGAATGCTTAGACCAAACAACAAGGGAATAAATAGCTCCTTACAAAAACACATATTCTAGTTGTGTATGAAACACACATCTCTATGATTTGCCTTCCAGTACGGCCTGTACTCGGGGTTTATCTGTACATTCGTCTACACCTTGATGGGGTCAGCTAAGGACATCACCATCGGCCCCAGCGCCATCACCTCCCTGCTCACCGCATCCTTCGCCACCACCGTGTCCCCCACCCTGCCCAACGGTGAGAAGGACCCGACCCTGCCCATCCTGCTGGCCTTCACCACGGGCCTGGTGTTTATAGCCATGAGTTTCCTCAAACTTGGCATCATCGTCAGCTACATCTCCTTACCTGTCATCAACGCTTTCTCCTCGGCCGCCGCCATCACCATCGCCGTCAGCCAGATCAAGGTCAGTTAGCTCTAACCTTCACCTTGAGATAAAAATATTGAAACAAATGATACATTAAATGAAAATTGTAGGTACAATATATTGTAATTAACGATATAAGCTGATTTATATATCTACTACGAGATGTAAATTATATGTTTACCAATATCGATTTCAGTCTTTGCTGGGACTGAAAGGAATACCGAATGATTTCATCGACAGCGTGATCGATATTTGCAGGAAGTTGTATCTTACAAAGTAAGACGTTTTACAGTTCGTCAATGTAATAATGTATTCGGGCTGAGTGATTGAATGGTATTGCTGTTTTAGAAAATAATAATGGGGGTTGTGAGGGGTTGATTGTATGGTTGGCGAGAGGTTGATGGTGGGGTTGACAAGGGGTTGATGGTGTGGTTGGCGAGGAGTTGATGGTGTGGTTGGCGAGGGGTTGATGGTGTGGTTGGCGAGGGGTTGATGGTGTGGTTGGCGAGGGGTTGATGGTGTGGTTGGCGAGGGGTTGATGGTGTGGTTGGCGAGGGGTTGATGGTGTGGTTGGCGAGGGGTTGATGGTGTGGTTGGCCAGGGGTTGTATCGGCCATGGCGCTGCTTGACCTAATTCCCTCCCCAGTGTGTGGGATCTGACCATGGGCCTGGCCTGTATTGTAAGTGTCGTCCTCCTCAAGAAACTTCGAGAAATCAAGTGGAAAAACGACCCAGATAATCCCCCCAATATGGGCATTGCGTTTTTGAGAAAATGTATCTTCATCTCTGGAGCAAGTGAGTGCGAAGATAATCTCTTTTGTAGCCCCGTTGAGAAATGCTAAAAAACGGAGAAAGAAAGTGTAAAGAACATCTCTAAAATATCACTGCTCAAACAAAAAAAAATGAAATCGTTTGTTGTTCTAAAGTTTAACACATGTTTCTCAGCTCATTAATATTTAAGTTTTTAATTTAACAAATTGTTCTCAAGAAATGAATGTACATATTTCATTTTCAGTCAATGTCAACATTACGCAAAAAGTGTAATACAAATATTCATATCTCCTTATGTTACAATGATAAAGCATTTTATCAATACTTTTTAAACCAATTTTTGAACGAGAAAATTTTTTGACAGGTTCCACAGCTATAGTGGTCATCCTAGCCGCCATAATTTTCTACATCCTGGAGGTCAACGGCATTCACGGCATCACGCCAACAGGTAAAATCAAGCCAGGTATGCCAGACTTCCAGGCTCCAAAGTTTGAAATCAACATCGGGAACATGACGATGACGTCATCAGAGGTTTTTGGTGTAAGTTTTAGAGATATATTTATGGTAGTGTACATACGTGGTGGTGTAGCTTTGTGGTGGTGTAGGTTGTAGGGTGTAGGTTTGTGGCTGTGTAGGTTTGTGGTGGTGTAGGTTTGTGGTTGTGTAGGTTTGTGGTTGTGTAGGTTTGTGGTGGTGTAGGTTTGTGGTTGTGTAGGTTTGTGGTTGTGTAGGCTTTGTGGTGGTGTAGGTTTGTGGTGGTGTAGGTTTGTGGTGGTGTAGGTTTGAGGTGGTGTAGGTTTCTGGTGGTGTAGGTATCTGGTTGTGTAGTTTTGTGGTGGTGTAGGCTTTGTGGTGGTGTAGGTTTGTGGTGGTGTAGGTTTGTGGTGGTGTAGGTTTGTGGTGATGTAGGTTTGTGGTGGTGTAGGTTTGTGTTGGCTTAGGGTAGGTTACAGTGCTATTGCTAATAGGCTGCTGTTTAGTCCATCACAACCTTGGTAGAAGTAATAAAATTGTCTTGAGTTGCTTGATATAACTAAAACACAAGGAACTTACATTGTTACTAAACCAAATCATAAGACAATACACTAATAATCAAACATTCTTGTTCAGAAACTTGGGGCTGGTATAGGTATAGTCCCTATCATCTGCCTGCTTGAAGCAATGTCTGTGGGGAAATATTTTGGTAAGTCCATTTGATTTTATCGAGAAATGCGTCGTTATTAGTTACTTTACTAATTGGGCTGGTAAGTAGGTCACAGCCAGTTGTATGGCTCATGCAGGTTTTAGTGACCTACTTACCAGCCCTATTGTGGTCTATTTGCAGTCAATAACTGGGGTGCTTTAACATACATCGTTCACTCAGTCGTACAATATCTAGACTGTCTTATACCCGATAAATAAAAGGCAATATTTAGATCAATACAAAAAAATCCTGATGTATGTTCAAACTGAGATAAGTTTATTTTATTGCTGGACCGTTTTACAGCCAGGGTCAACAAGTACAAGCTGGATCCTACACAAGAACTTCTGGCCTATGGGATCGGGAATCTGTTGACGTCATTCTTCCAGGGCTTTACCATCACTGGAACTTTCTCCAGGTAAGTTAGTCCAAACAATTTGTCCAGGTTAGATCTGATAACAAAACACACAAAAATCTATGTGCATACAACAGACAGTTATCGCATTGGGAAATTTCTCCAGGTAGAATAATCCAAACAAGTTCTCCAGGTTACATAACAACACTAACCAAATCTAAGTGACAGTTAACGGATTTTGTTGTAACTTTATGGATAAATTGCAAATGACAAACATGCAGCCTATAAGAAATATTGAGTTGGGTGTAAAAAAATATAGCTTTTGGTATTAATGATTTACAAGTTGTTATCATTACGTATCATATAAATTGTAAGTTACTGCTTTGGTTGTCTACAGGACAGCTATCAACGCCCAGTGCGGGGTCAAGACCCAGCTGGGCTGTGTCCTAACTGGCACCCTCGTCATCATCTCCCTGTTTTTCCTGACCCCCCTCTTCTACTACATCCCCAAATGTGCTCTGGCCGCCGTCATCATAGCCGCTGTCTTGGCCATGGTGGACTTTACTACAATCAAGATGATCTACAAGGCTAACAGTAGGTGACACCGCCCACTGTATTAAACCCTTTGTCTGTTTGCTAATGAGCAACTATCTATTTTTAGCTTACTTTTTAGGTATTAAGGAAGCCGATGTTATTGTTTTCTAGAATTTTGTAGCATCTTTAGAAATACTAAAATGTTAAAGTAGCAACAAAAAACTGAGTGACGTAAAACTTGTAACAATTTCATGAAAATTTTTTCTCAGAACTGGAGTTGTTACCGTATGCCATCACATTTATCTGCACACTGGCAATTGGGATTCAGGTGATAAATGACAGTCATCTATTTTAAGTAACAACTATTTTATTCAAACGTTATATGTTCATAAACACACATATACATGCGTGTGTATGTGTATGAGTGTGTATGTGTGTGCGTCTTGTACACACACGTCAATTTGCTCATTTACTTTCAGTGGGGAATATTTGTTGGTGTTGGAATCTCGTTTTTCTTCCTGCTGTACCCGCTATCAAGACCAAAACTTCTGGTAATCAAAGTTTTCATTTTTAAAATTAATTCTTTAAAAATTTCAGTACGAAATAATTCTAACCTTTGCCTCCATTCAATGTGTATTGAAGTAAGTGGATCGTACATCGTCTACAAACTTTCAGTTCTCCAGCCAACAAGGATTTTTTATCGTGACCCCCACACATGGACTGACTTTTCCTGGAGCTGAGTTCCTGGAGATCAAGGCACTGGACAACGCGTTAAATGGTTGGTCAATGTTCTATCATTTTTAAAACACGTCGTTAAAAAGAGATTACTAAATACTATAACAAAAGGGAAAATAGCGTTTGCGATCAGTCAGGAATAACTAGCCTTGTTTTTAATTGACATGGGTGGTTATTTTTCTGTGAGTTAAATGTGGAGTAATGATATGGTTGGAGAGATTCTGGGTGCGGAGATTAAAGAGGGGGGTGGGGGGGGGGGGGGTGGGGGTATATCCTTGCTTATTTATATGGAACCTTTTTATTTGTATTAAAATAGACGCAGATTGTATCTATGATATCACACGTAAATTTTATTTAACTAATTTTAGTATAATTGATACCATGTTTCTTTAATGATGTTTATAAAAATTGTTTTCTTGTCATTCCCTTGTCCAGTGGAGAAGCCCCACATCGTGATCCTGAACATGGAGCACATCTCAAACATCGATTTCTCGGCAGCCCAGTCCCTCAGGTCTCTCATTGTGGAGTGTGAGTTCCATGGGATGAAGTTGGTTCTTGCACAGGCACAGGTGAGTTCCATAGGATGAAGTTGATTCTTGCACAGGCACAGGTGAGTTCCATGGGATGAAGTTGATTCTTGCACAGGCACAGGTGAGTTCCATGGGATGAAGTTGAATCTTGCACAGGCACAGGTGAGTTCCATGGGAGGAAGTTGATTCTTGCACAGGTGAATTCCATGGGATGAAGTTGATTCTTGCACAGGCACAGGTGAGTTCCATAGGATGAAGTTGATTCTTGCACAGACACAGGTGAGTTCCATGGGATGAAGTTGATTCTTGCACCCGTGAATTTTATGGGATGAAGTTGATTCTTGCACAGGTGAGTTCCATGGGATGAAGTTGATTCTTGAACAGACACAGGTGAGTTCCATGGGATGAAGTTGATTCTTGCACAGGCAAAGATGAGTTCCATGGGATGAAGTTGATTCTTGCACAGGCACAGGTGAGTTCCATGGGATGAAGTTGAATCTTGCACATGCACTGGTGAGTTCCATGGGAGGAAGTTGATTCTTGCACAGGTGAGTTCCATGGGATGAAGTTGATTCTTGCACAGGCACAGGTGAGTTCCATAGGATGAAGTTGATTCTTGCACAGACACAGGTGAGTTCCATGGGATGAAGTTGATTCTTGCACCCGTGAATTTTATGGGATGAAGTTGATTCTTGCACAGGTGAGTTCCATGGGATGAAGTTGATTCTTGAACAGACACAGGTGAGTTCCATGGGATGAAGTTGATTCTTGCACAGGCAAAGATGAGTTCCATGGGATGAAGTTGATTCTTGCACAGGCACAGGTGAGTTTTATGGGATAAGTTGATTCTTGCACATGCACAGGTGAGTTCCATGGGATTAAGTTGATTCTTGCGCAGATGAGTTCCATGAGATGAAGTTGATTCTTGCACAAGTGAGTTCCATGGGATGAAGTTGATTCTTGCACAGGTGAGTTCCATGGGATGAAGTTGATTCTTGCACAGGTGAGTTCCATGCGATGAAATTGATTCTTGCACAGGTGAGTTCCATGGGATGAAGTTGATTCTTTCACAGGCACAGGCAATTTCCATGGGATGAAGTTAATTCTTGCAAAGGCACAGGTAAGTTACATGGGATAAAGTTGATTATTGCACAGGCACAGGTGAGTTCCATGGGATAAACTTGATTCTTGCACAGGTGAGTTCCATGGGAAGAAGTTGGTTCTTGCACAGGTGAGTTCCATGGGATGAAGTTGATTCTTGAACAGACACAGGTGAGTTCCATGGGATAAACTTGATTCTTGCGCAGGCACAGGTGAGTTCCATGGGATGAAGTTGATTCTTGCACAGGCACAGGTGAGTTCCATGGGATGAAGTTGATTCTTGCACTAACTCACAAACATGTACAAAAAAAACTCAAGGTAGAAAGCACATGTTTTTTTTTTATTTAGTAATAAATGTTGAAATATTTTAACTTCTCTGCTTGTGTAGAAACGGGTTCGACGCCAACTCAAACTGGCCAAACTCCCAAACCTCGTTCTGGTTAAAACCACACAGGACGCCATCGACAAGTTTTCTTATCCATCAAAAGGTATGTTCATGTTGTTTGTATGCAAAAGATGCCATTTTTTATCTAGAACCAATGGGGCAGATGAAGTACAGTTCAAATGTTTCTTGATTTCGGCGTATGAATGACATATAAATGGTGTGGCCAGCACTATGCCCTATGATCTATCTATGCCCGGATCGTTTACTTTCCCCAACGTAAATCAGGTACCAAGCTGAGTGGACTCAATGATGTACTACAGTCACAAGTACAAATTTGTCCCAGTTTGTCTACAAAAAGTATTAATTTGTTTTTGGGCTTTTAATGTTGATTAAATCTTACATATGAACCCGTTAAACATTAAGGTTTATCATTTATGGGGTTATAATTCATCTTACATTGGCTACTGTAATGCCCCACTTGTAAGGCTAGATTAGATATATTTTAAATTACCCGGGACAGAGAGGGGGAGGGGGGGGGGGTAATTGTGTTAAGTCCCGTATTGTTGTAAAATATCTCATCAGGTCGAATATGGGTATAAAATTGGTTTAAACGCTACTTGGGTTTTGTTAAATTAGAAGTCAGATCTGTGTAGTAATGGAAGAATAAAGTACACAAATATCATGTATTGCGTTGCTTTTCCTTAATTTTTTAATGTTTTCGTTTTTCAATAACAACAACTCACAAGACTTGTTTGTTGTCTATTCGAACAGATTTTCATGAATTTGATGTACCACCCCCACCCCACCAAGACGCAGGGGAAGAAGGGTTGATCATGAGCCGGTTGTAACACAAAGATTCACTCTTGTTTGTGCGCTGACATATTGCTGGGTGCCAATGTATGATATTGTATTTAAAATGGTAAATGTTATTTTTTATGCTATGTGCTAGAGTAATTACTCAGTTTTAACACTAACAGAATTTAAACGTGTACACACATACATAGTATCTTTAGTTAAGTTAAAACTTAAAATAAGAGATTCATTAAAACAAGACTACTGACTTGTTCGTTTGAAAATATTCAACTTCGGCAGCAGCATAATATAAAAGATAAAAATTTGAATCATTGTACGCCTATAAAATAAACTTTTGTTTTAAAAATGGTATCGAAAATAAATTGTCCTAAAACTGTATAGATAGAATAATATTTTGTAAATGTGTTACTTTACTCTCTCTTTCACTGATCAGTTTGCTAATAAAGATGCAATGTAAACATGATATGCTTGTTTGTTGTGTTTATGTTGTGTTTATGTTAAGTTTATCAACAAAACAAATAAACCTGATCACGTGATAACAAGTGTCTGAACATCGATGTCTAAGTTATAACATCATATAATAACTGTCAGCAACTCTTTGGCTAAAACACAACACAACTACATCGTTTTTTTTTTTAAATCTAGCCCAGCTTGACATTAAAAGAGTTGTGCCAACCCGACACAACATGAACCTGGTACAACCCAACACAACATGAACCTGGTACAACCCCCACACAACCTGAACCCCACATGAACTTTGTTCAACCCCATACATTGTGCCGCCCACATAAAGTTGGTTCGATCCACTACAATATGAACCAACCCACATCAACATGAACCAACCCACATCAATATGAACAACACACATCAATATGAACCAACCCACATCAATATGAACCAACCCACATCAATATGAACCAACCCACATCAATATGAACCAACCCACATCAATATGAACCAACCCACATCAATATGAACCAACCCTATCAATATGAACCAACCCCATCAATATGAACCAACCCAGATTAATATGAACCAACCCCATCAATATGAACCAACCCACATCAATATGAACCAACCCACATCAATATGAACCAACCCACATCAATATGAACCAACCCACATCAATATGAACCAACCCACATGAATGTGAACCAACCCACATCAATATGAACCAACCTACATCAATATTCGAAGTTCAGTACAATCAAAAGCTGATTAAATGTTGTTGTTTTTTTTAATTTATTTAACCTATTTGCTCTACTGAAGTTTATTTTTAAGCAGACCCAGTACCTTGCCCGCCACCACCACACATTTCTCTTACTTATTAGTACACAATCATATAATTAAATCCAATTAAATGTTATCGTAAAATATTACCCCCACACTGCGTCCTAAAGCGTTAGCTAAAGGGAAAACTTTGTTGTGAATTCAGGAACAATCACTACAGTGATAATGCTGGTAGGAACACTTTGTTGTGATTTTACGGACAATCAGTACAGTGATTATGAAACAAATCCCACCACTACAGATTGACCTCAATGGGCGGGAAGTGAGCGGAGGTCACTCGTGGACGCAATCAAGGTCACTTCACCAGCAGACGTAGGTCGTCACTGGCCACTACAACACCGGGAAATTAAATCCAACAAATTAGATTTACCTTACTGACATAATTAAAATATCTTTGTTAACAAGACAATTCATGTATCATTAAATTCAAACATACGTGATTGCTCCATAATGTACCGAATCTCTGTTTTGAAAGGACAATCTAATGCTACGTACATTCAAGTCAGTACAGTGATCAGCCAATAACTTGGGTGATTTTGTCGTCAGAACTAAATAAAGTTGCATTCAGCTTTTATAAACAAAGTCAAAGATAAATCTATCATTAAAATTCTGGTTTAATGGTTTCTTTTATGGAAGATTTGTTAAGCTATGTTTAAGTAGAGCTTATATTTGAGTCATTAAATGTTGATTGTTGTACGGATTCTTCTAGATTTCGATATTGCTGCTTTGGCAACATGAAAGTGTGCGACTAGGAATAATAAATACATTTTTGTGTGACCTCTTTGTAAGAAATAGTTTATTTACCACGTGACCTAAAGTTCGTCTGAACTAAAAGTAGGTCGTGTACAGAATTCACTTCATGGTCACAAAGTTGGCCCCAGCTGTTTCACGTGTGGCGATAGGAGGGGTCTAAAGAGGGGTGGGGGTAGGGGGATTGGGGTGGGCTGAGGTCGAGGGGGGGCGTAGATAGGTGGGGGTACAGGGAAAGGGGTACATGGTAGACGGGGCGGGGGTACAGGGGGTGGGGATAGAGGGGCGGGGTACAAAGGGTGGGGGTACATGGGACGGGGTAGGGGGAGCGGAGTAGAGGGGGTGGGGGGGGTTGAAGAGTCAGAGGGGTGGGAGAAGAGGGACGGGAGTAGAGAACAGTTTTTTTTCTGCTTGACTTTACTGTAATCATAACCTCATGAGTGACGTCACTACAATGACGTACGGCAACAATGGACCGGTCAGACGACGTGACGTCACAGATTTGTTTTCCAGTTTAATTCCAGCCATTGTTCTTGCTGGGTATAAATGGGTCGAGCTTAGTCCGTTGGTCAGCCAACTTGTAGCTACCACACTGAGAGCTTGGATATATTTCTCTCTGCTCTGTTTTCACATTAGAGTTACCGTATTCACAGACAACACAAAATTCACCTTGCGAATTACCTGGGTACAACCAGGGCTGTTTACTTCTGTCAAGTTTAGCGACACGGTTGAATGGTCTTCACGATCAACTCGGGAAACTTGAAGCCAGAGTCCCAGAACCATGGAGGACCGGATGGGGTCAAAGTTGATCAGCTGGACACCGCTGTACACATGGGACAGGAGGTAAGTTGAAGTACTCACTCTTGTATTGTGTATAAGTGGGGTTACAGGAGAGTTGAAGTACTCACTCTTGTATTGTCTATACCTGCCGTACAGGTGAGTCTAACTACTCACTCTTGTATTGTCTATACCTGGGGTACAGGTGAATTTAACTTCTCACACTTACATAATTTATACCTGGAGGTAGATGAATACAACTCGATAGATCGTAAATCTACAAATAGTTGAATCTGCAGATATTTATCTTTACAATATCCATCAAATATTTATACGATTTAAGAAACATCTACTGCCATTATAAACAGAGAATATACAAGCAACTAAATACAAATAAATAAAAAAAGTGGACTTTTGGAATACGGACACGTGTAAAACAAATCACCATATTAAAAGGTGTCTGAAGAATTGTGCCTATAGTAGCGTCCGTCACTATCATAACTGCAAGGCACATTCGTCTACTCGCATTCAATTAATTCAATTAATTCAATTTTTTTCTGTATTATAAAACACACCTAAGTGTATTTAAGAGCAGGTGCTAACGCTCTCTACGTTGTTTATGAGAGTAGGGTATATTGATAAGGTTGATGCCAGAAATATGATTACAATTGTTGGAAGGGTTCTTCGGCTGTAAACTATTTTTAAGAAAAAGTGCTTGATTTTTATTTGCTATTCGCAAGTTGTCATTCGATACACTCACGGAAATCTACACAAGTTGAATTTTAAAGCGTCTTTGGTTTATTTGTTTTAAGCCGTGTATAGTGGTTGGGGTCAACGGGTCATCCAAGTTTGACCCCAGTGTCAAGGATGACAAGGATGACACGTGCACTCAGGAGCTGACCCTCCGGTCTGCTGTAGAGCGAGCCAAAGATTGCTGCAGAAGTTGCCTGACCTTGGACACCCTCAAAAGTCGCTTCCCTATCATCTCGTGGCTGCCCATGTACAGGTAGCTCGCTGTTATGGTGTCGTGTTTTAGACGGTATTTTGTTTTGTGTTTTGTACGGTATAGTTTGTTTGTTTTGTGTTTTGTACGGTATAGTTTGTTTTGTGTTTTGTACGGTATAGTTTGTTTGTTTTGTGTTTTGTACGGTATATTTTGTTTGCTTTGTGTTTTGTACGGTATAGTTTGTTTTGTGTTTTGTACGGTATAGTTTGTTTGTTTTGTGTTTTGTACGGTATAGTTTGTTTTGTGTTTTGTACGGTATAGTTTGTTTTGTGTTTTGTACGGTATATTTTGTTTGCTTTGTGTTTTGTACGGGTTTGTTTGTTTTGTGTTTTGTACGGTACAGTTAGTATTGTGTTTTGTACGGTATAGTGTGTTTCCATTGTTTTAGACAGTATAGCGTATTACAATGTTTTATATGTTGTGTTTTATACGGTATAGTTTTTTCACAATTTTATAATTTATACGATATAGTTTGTTTTTCTATGTTTTAGGCAGTATTGTGTGTTACAATGTTTTATACAGGGGCGTATTTTAATCGGTACTTTCTTTTATTCATAGTTTAATATAAGATGTTGGGTTATGTATGTAAGTTTTTCTTTATGTGGCGGGTTGCTTTGTACATGTTTTATGTGGCGTGTTTGGCTGGTGCGGTATACACATAACTGTGATTTAGCCCATTGTAAAAAAAAAGACATGTTTTCAAATTTCTTGTCAGCATATTAGATGTTAAACTAACTCACAAAAACTGGATCTTATTGTTTTTGTGTTCGTTTCTCAACAGCTTGTTTAACCTACAATGTGACATTATCGCCGGCATCACCGTGGGTCTGACCCTCATTCCCCAGGGTCTGGCATTTTCTGGAATCGCTGGCCTGCCAACACAGGTGAGTCTACATGTGAGGGAATCTGTGGTTGGGCAGAAGATACAGGTTGACTGGTCGTCACAACAACTTTGGCAGACGGTACATGTCCAACAGTCTTAACTAAGATTCGAAAAACTAATATATAAGCCAAACTCATGTCCTAGTATTTTGTTACTAAGTTTCTTAAACTTAAATAATAAAACTCAATTATTCCTATGAATAAACCTAACCTTAACTACAATTTGTTATATTGCCACGGTTAACGTTAACAGATACGAATAAATGGGTTCTGCTGTGCAGTATCAATCTGTTTCAAGTGAACATGGGTTCCTCATTCACTTGAAGAGTTCTCTTTTATTCCAGTACGGCCTGTACTCGGGGTTCATCTGTACATTCGTGTACACTTTGATGGGCTCAGCTAAGGACATCACCATCGGCCCCAGCGCCATCACCTCACTGCTCACCGCGTCCTTCGCCACAACCGTGTCCCCTACCCTGCCCAACGGTGAGAAGGACCCGACCCTGCCCATACTGCTGGCCTTCACCACGGGCCTGGTGTTTACAGCCATGAGTTTCCTCAAACTTAGCATCATCGTCAGCTACATCTCCTTACCTGTCATCAACGCTTTCTCCTCGGCCGCCGCCATCACCATCGCCGTCAGCCAGCTAAAGGTACACAACCGCTTTTGCTTCGTTACATAACAGTTCTATAAATTGCATTTTTTTTTTAAATTTAGTTTAAATTTCATGACTTTTTCCTTTTATATTTTATGATTTACTGTAAGTTTACATTTTTTTTATATACTTTGTAAAAATATCATGACGTGTTATGATCGGTATGGTGCTGGCATATTTTATACATTTTGTCTCGCAGTCCTTGCTAGGTTTAAAAGGAATTCCCAACGACTTCATTCCCTGTCTAATCGATATAGGAAAAAAACTGCACCTCACAAAGTAAGAACTTATCAACAATTACAATTCTTACATAAACAATAATAATTTCATTTTATTTATTTCAAATATTGATATTGTTTTAGAAATATATACCAGCTAGTATTTGGCCAGTAAGTAAATGACACCAATTTATACAATTCATAGACTAAAAGAAAAAAAAGTCGTATGATAAAATTTACTTTTAACGTTTACAGTGTGTGGGACCTGACGATGGGTTTGACCTGTATTGTTGTTGTTGTCCTGTTGAAGAAACTACGAGAGATCAAGTGGAAAAACGACCCTACCAACCCACCGTCCCTGGCTATGGCCATACTACAGAAGTCTATGTTTATAGCTGGAGCTAGTAAGTGATGGTTTTGGTGTAGGGGGGGTATTGTGTAGACAGTTCACGCTAGTCACGTGTAGACATATTACGTTAGACTCGGTTAGAGAGATCACGATAGACATGTGTAGACAGATCACGTTAGACACGTGTAGACAGATCACGCTAGTCACGTGTAGATCATCACGTTAGACACGGGTAGATATATCACGCTAGACACTGGTAGATATATCACGCTAGACACTGGTAGATATATCACGCCAGACACGTGTAGACAGATCACGTTAGACACGGGTAGATATATCACGCTAGTCACGTGTAGACAGTTCACGCTAGTCACGTTTAGACAGATCACGTTAGACACGGGTAGATATATCACGCTAGACACTTGTAGATATATCACGCTAGACACTGGTAGATATATCACGCTAGACACTGGTAGATATATCACGCTAGACACTGGTAGATATATCACGCTAGACACTGGTAGATATATCACGCTAGACACTTGTAGATATATCACGCTAGACACTGGTAGATATATCACGCTAGACACTTGTAGATATATCACGCTAGACACTGGTAGATATATCACGCTAGACACTGGTAGATATATGACGCTAGAACCAGACTATATAGACAGATCAAGTTAGACTGATCTCATCCCCTTCAATGTGAAATAGAATAACCTGACACCATCTCATGATACTACAACTTAACGATCCATCACGTGAGACTTTATCATGTGATCCTTTACAAAGTGTCAGCTTATGACGAGACTCTGTCACGTGACTATTTCAAACGTGACACTCTATCACATGCCACTAATAACATTTTGTCTATCTCTAGGTATGTCTCTATATACCTGTTTTGCTATTTGTGTAGGCATATGAAGAATTTAGTGACGCTCTGAATAATTATAGAAGCACAATTAGAACAATTGAAAACTCAAGTAGAAACCCATTAAAACTATTGAAAAAAATATTTCAACACATATTTTTTGGTTCTCTATACTTTAGAATTTTTTTTTTTTTTTTAATTTTCACTAAGACGTAGATCTACGTTGTTTGTGTAAAACTGAACTAATGTCTAAGTGTTGATGTAGAGCCTTAGTCGGTATTGGTGCTGCCGTTTAATAACATCGCCTTTGTTTTATCCTAACATTAAACAACCAATGACCTTCCATCTTTGATGCTCTGAACGATCACCAAACTAACGATATTTTCTGTACCCTGCCCAGGTTCCACAGCTATAGTGGTCATCCTAGCCTCCATACTCTTCTACATCCTGGAGATAAACGGCATCCACGGCATCACGCCAACAGGTAAAATCAAGCCAGGTATGCCAGACTTCCAGGCTCCAAAGTTTGAAATCAATATCGGTAACACGACGATGACGTCATCAGAGGTTTTTGCTGTAAGTAACAAGCACGTCTTTATAAGGGTTGATGTGATAAGCACGTCTTCATACGGTTTGATGTAATAACCACATCTTTATAAGGGTTGTTGTAATAAGCACGTCTTTATAAGGGTTGATGTAATAAGCACGTCTTTATAAGGGTTGATGTAATAAGCACGTCTTTATAAGGGTTGATGTAATAAGCACGTCTTTATAAGGGTTGTTGTAATAAGCACGTCTTTATAAGGGTTGATGTAATAAGCACGTCTTTATAAGGGTTTTTGTAATACTAGTTGATGTAACAAGCACGTCTTTGTAAGGATTGATATAACAAGCATGAGTTATAAGGGTTGCAAGTGTGAGCACGGATTTATTATTTTAGTTATTGATTATCAATTATATTTCTTGTAATTTTATATTAGACACGTTTAATGAAAACTGTATAGTAATCAATTAGCGATTTTAACATCATAGTTTAACAGAGCTTGCTATAAATAACACCATTAACTCTCGTCCAAATGCCTCTCACTTGTGCATCTTGTAAGCGTCTAGTAGGCTCTGATTGTAACAAGTATATCACACGGATTAATAAGATATATCTTGATACATTCAGAAACTCGGGGCTGGTATAGGAATCGTCCCCATCATCTGCTTGATCGAGGCCATGTCTGTTGGAAAGTATTTCGGTGAGTCGATACATTTTTAAATAAATTGATTAAAAAACAAAGTATTTCGGTGAGTCGATACATTTTTAAATAAATTGATTAAAAAACAAAGTATTTCGGTGAGTCGATACATTTTTAAATAAATTGATTAAAAACAAAGTATTTCGGTGAGTCGATACATTTTTAAATAAATTGATTAAAAAACAAAGTATTTCGGTGAGTCGATACATTTTTAAATAAATTGATTAAAAAACAAAGTATTTCGGTGAGTCGATACATTTTTAAATAAATTGATTAAAAAACAAAGTATTTCGGTGAGTCGATACATTTTTATATAAATTGATTAAAAAACAAAGTATTTCGGTGAGTCGATACATTTTTTAATAAATTGATTAAAAAACAAAGTATTTCGGTGAGTCGATACATTTTTAAATAAATTGATTAAAAAACAAAGTATTTCGGTGAGTCGATACATTTTTAAATAAATTGATTAAAAAACAAAGTATTTCGGTGAGTCGATACATTTTTATATAAATTGATTAAAAAACAAAGTATTTCGGTGAGTCGATACATTTTTTAATAAATTGATTAAAAGACAAAGTATTTCGGTGAGTCGATACATTTTTTAATAAATTGATTAAAAACAAAGTATTTCGGTGAGTCGATGGATTTTTTAAACTCGCTAATTAAAAATATGATTCAACGAAAGGAAACTGTTTTATACGTTTCCCTTCAAGTGGCACAACCCATTGTTTAACTGTGCCATCTCTGTCGTCGACGTGTTTAGTTACACAAGAAACATCTTAAAACCATTTCTGTATCTTTCAGCCCGTGTCCACAAATACAAACTGGACCCCACACAAGAACTGCTGGCCTACGGCGTGGGAAACTTGTTGACGTCATTCTTCCAAGGCTACCCTGTCACTGGAACTTTCTCCAGGTAAAGGAAATCTTTTTTTTAACCGTCAATTTCTCTCTACTCTAGCCCAGCTAGACAATTTATCTACTGTAATCTCCATCAACCTAGTAACTGCTGAATAACGTAAATCTCATCTCCGTGATTTAAACATGTATTTTTATATTTTGATTCAAGCGAAAAGTTAGAAACAAAGGTTCAAGTACCAAAAATGTATTTTTTATTCCAGAACCGCCATCAACGCCCAGTGTGGAGTCAAGTCACAGCTCGGCTGTGTCCTCACCGGAATTATCGTCATCATCTCCTTATCCTTCCTGACCCCCCTCTTCTACTACATCCCCAAATGTGCTCTGGCCGCCGTCATCATAGCCGCTGTCTTGGCCATGGTGGACTTTACCACAATCAAGATGATCTACAAGGCTAACAGTGAGTGACGTGTTTGCTACTTGACAGAGATTTGTTATTAGTTAATGTCAATGCCACAGCGTTTCTTATATTCAAGACTATTCAATATCTCCACTCGATAGCCCACACATGACAATAATATCGAATTATTTACGATATTAGAATTTACAAGAGGTAAATAGTGATCGATATCGAATATAAAACGTGTTACAAAACGAGTACTTCCTTTTATTTCAGAGCTTGAACTCTTGCCGTATGCTATTACATTTATCTGCACACTTGCTATTGGTATACAGGTAAGATCAACGTTGCTACTCATACTTCTAACCTAAGTGTTGATTATTCTATATTTAATATATAAGTTTATAATATCATTATATACATAATTGTTGCCATTCATTTCAGTGGGGAATATTTGTTGGAGTTGGCATTTCCTTATTTATTCTCTTGTACCCCATATCTCGACCTAAGCTACTGGTAATTATATTTTTATATTTATTTTACATAGTCGAACTTTTGATTATTTTAAAAAATTCTTAGCGTTCTGTATTTTTATTGTGTGGTAATTACTAAAATACGCACGAAACAAGCTTTCATTAATCTGATGGTGATTAACATTGAGTTCTCTAATATCTGCTACACCTTTCAGTTCTCCAGCCAAGAGGGATTTTTTATCGTGACCCCCACACACGGACTGACCTTTCCTGGAGCTGAGTTCCTGGAGATTAAGGCACTGGACAAGGCTCTAAATGGTTGGTTGATTGTCTTATCACCTGCTTTCTTAACACTTGCTTTTACCAGACCCTGTGATATATTTTATGGTTATGGATGGATAAAAAATTTTTTATCTTTCCATTATGGTGAAAATAAACTGATAGCCGATGTTAGTTTACGTTAAGACTATGTAGGCCCACATGTGTATTTATGCTTGATATGGTTCCAGTGGAGAAGCCCCACATCGTGATCCTGAACATGGAGCACATCTCAAACATCGATTTCTCGGCAGCCCAGTCCCTCAGGTCTCTCATAGTGGAGTGTGAGTTCCATGGGATGAAGTTGATTCTTGCACAGGCACAGGTGAGTTCCATGGGATGAAGTTGATTCTTGCACAGGCACAGGTGAGTTCCATGGGATGAAGTTGATTCTTGCACAGGCACAGGTGAGTTCCATGGGATGAAGTTGATTCTTGCACAGGCACAGGTGAGTTCCATGGGATAAAGTTGATTCTTGCATAGGCACAGGTGAGTTCCATGGGATAAAGTTGATTCTTGCATAGGCACAGGTGAGTTCCATATATATATATATATATATATATATATATATATATATATATATATATATATATATATATATATATATATATATATATAATTATCTCAAGCGTGTTACTTGGTAAGTGTTTTAGAAGAAGTGTTAAAAAGAAATAAGAATTGATTTTTGCCACTGCTCCCATTTTAAGCAAGCACAACAGCATCATGGACGTTTTAACCGAAAATGTATCCCTATGCATGTAATTAGAAAATATTAGACATTATAATTTGGTTCATATTTTGGTCTTAAAATTTAGACGTATACTGTGTTTATGAATTTTACAGAGAAAACATGTTTGTTTCTATTGATAGAAAAAAGCTCGCCGACAACTCAAGAAGGCGAAGTTGCCGAACTTGACACTTGTTAAAACTTTGCAGGATGCGTTTGACAAGTTTTCAAAACCTTTGAAAGGTGAGTGTCTACTACCTTACATTTTTTTTAAAACTAAACTTTACACATAATAAACGTAAAATGCATGGGGAAAGATAGAGAGTGAAGCAGGGAGAGTGAAGAAAAAGTGTGAGGAGAGTGTGGAGATAAAGAGAGTGTAGCAGAGAGATAGAGAGAGAGAGAGAGACACACAGTGCGAATGGTTGAGGTAGAGTTACCCCTTCTCATCAGCACTTGGGGGAGGGGTAACGCGTAGAGTCTATCACACCATCGCTGTACCACCCGCCCTCGCTACCAACACCCCTACGAATCACACCATCGCTGTACCACCGGCCCTCGCTACCAACACCCCTACGAATCACACCATCGCTCTACCACCCGCCCTCGCTACCAACACCCCTACGAATCACACCATCGCTGTACCACCGGCCCTCGCTACCAACACCCCTACGAATCACACCATCGCTGTACCACCCTCCCTCGCTACCAACACCCCTACGAATCACACCATCGCTGTACCACCCACCCTCGCTACCAACACCCCTACGAATAACTGACTTTGGTACCCGAAGGAAATAATATATTGTTTTACAATTATGAAAATGTTCCCTATATCTTCTGTCCACCACCCCCCCCCCCCCGCCACACCCCCAGATTTTCACGAGCTTGAAGTCCAAGCCCCCACCGAGGAAACAGGTGACGCCTTGATCATGAGTCGCTTGTAGCAGACATCGTGGCGCTGATGACTCTAGGACTGTTACTCTGAGACTTCCGCTCTGATGTAAAATAACATATTCATGATGTTTTTAATTGCTGTAATGACATGTTTCTTGTGTGTCGCTTTGTACTGTAAACACCCGCGCAAATCTTCTAACAATTAGAATGATTCTTTGATTAATTTTATTACAAATTGTTTTATTGTTTACATTACGTCAAATTGAGGACTTGTTTTTTGTTTTGTTTTAGATAGTATCATAAGTAAATGTCGCATGTTTTAACAATTAATGTTTACATTAACTTGACAAATGTATACTACATAATTTGACTAAATGATTTAAGTTGAATCATTGAATTTTGCATATTTAAATGCCACAGGTGTTTTTATTTGTTTGTTTCATTTAAATAAAGATATTTTATTCTGTAATGTATTTGGTATGGGTTTTTTTTTAATATCAATTAGATAGCGGTATCGTAAGCGTCTAATGAGATACAATACACAACCATAATAAGATAAGTTTAACAGAGTTCTCTTGTAAGCTTTATCCAAAAAAAAAATTAAAAAATTAAAAAAAGTAAAAACTATCAAAGAACAACATCTCTATCAAGGAACAATAATTTTATGAAAGAACAATAACTCTATGAAAGAACAATAACTCTATGAAAGAACAATAACTCTATGAAAGAACAATAACTCTATGAAAGAACAATAGCTCTATCAAAGAACAATAACTCTATCAAAGAACAATAACTCTATTAAACATCACACGTATTACCTGAGCTTGTCGTCACGCGCCTACAACATTGATAGCCTTACATCTATATCAGGTGGGGCTAAACTTGGCGACAGGCAGAAAACTCTACGGCCCACAGGTAGCAGGCTGGCAGCTACAGGTAGCAGCTACAGGTAGCAGGCTGGCAGCTACAGGTAGCAGGCTGGCAGCTACAGGTAGCAGGCTGGCAGATACAGGTAGCAGGCTGGCAGCTACAGGTAGCAGGCTGGCAGATACAGGTAGCAGGCTGGCAGCTACAGGTAGCAGGCTGGTAGCTACAGGTAGCAGCTACAGGTAGCAGGCTGGCAGCTACAGGTAGCAGCTACAGGTAGCAGGCTGGCAGCTACAGGTAGCAGGCTGGTAGCTACAGGTAGCAGGCTGGTAGCTACAGGTAGCAGGCTGGCAGCTACAGGTAGCAGCTACAGGTAGCAGGCTGGCAGCTACAGGTAGCAGGCTGGCAGCTACAGGTAGCAGGCTGGCAGATACAGGTAGCAGGCTGGCAGCTACAGGTAGCAGGTAGCAGCTACAGGTAGCAGGCTGGTAGCTACAGGTAGCAGCTACAGGTAGCAGGCTGGCAGCTACAGGTAGCAGGCTGGCAGATACAGGTAGCAGGCTGGTAGCTACAGGTAGCAGCTACAGGTAGCAGGGTGGCAGCTACAGGTGACAGGCTGGCAGCAACAGGTAGCAGCTACAGGTAGTAGGCTGGTAGCTACAGGTAGCAGGCTGGTAGCTACAGGTAGCAGGCTGGTAGCTACAGGTAGCAGGCTGGCAGCTACAGGTAGCAGTCCCTCTATTCCCAAACCTTTTCAAAGACCATGTAGGCCTACTACTTCATTTGTATACAAATTCGTTGTTTTTTATATTAATTGTCTGAAATATTTCGGTTGATTCTAAGTCAGTAAATAAGTAGCTATGTTTTAAGTGTAATTATTCTTACTTTACTAAGCAGTAATGAACAGTAAATAATGTTATTATTATACCCTAAAAGAATATGATATTTATTTAAGATAAAGAAACACTATGGTACCAGTCTATAATATCTTCAAAAATTCCGATTTTGACCATCTGTAAAATAAATATTTAGCCACATCCATTTTTGATTACCATGAAGATTTTAACATCCCTCCCCCCCCCCCCCCATTTGCAATCTTAATCCCCCCCCCCCCCCTCGTGTGAAAATGAGTAGAGGCAAAGTTCTCAGTGTATCGTAGAAACTGTGCATATTTGTGACGTCACAGAAGGTCTTTGTTTGCCTCATGTGAAGGGCAGAGGGGGGGGGGGGGGAAGGTTACCCATAACAAAACTGAATTGATCCGAAAATGTTGTTCGTGATTATTTCTTGAACATTCAGATAATGAAAGGAAGGTGTGAATTTATTTATCCGCTCAGATAATGAAACACTTTTAATGCTCGTGTGATGCCAGAATCGTTCGTTTATTGTGTAAGATCATTCCTAATGTCTCAAAACTTGCGACTAAACGTTTATCATTGATGAGAAGCCTCGCCGTGTTTTAGTTGTAAATTTTTGTCTCGCAATTCCATGTTAAAAGTATTGTAAACTTACAGCAACACGTTCTTGTTTTTTTTTTTTTTTTATTTCCCGGATGGCTATTATTTTTACTAGCACCCTTATTATGTCTAGTCTACAAGTTCGACTTTCACAAATTTCTTACCATAAGTCAGTGAAAAAATATAAGGCCATTTTTAAATTTTCTTCTACGTAATATTTTTGTTTTTTAATGACAATATACACTTTTTTGTAGATGTGTAATCAAATTATTAATCACTGTAATTATTTCTGTGTTAGCGCACGCAAATGTTAGGTTAATTATTCAGGTAATAACTTTTAATTTGATATTTCGAATTTTACTTTTACCAGGTTGAAACGGACGCGACAATAGGTAGTCATAATTTTAAATCGAGGTTTTAGAATTTTACTTTTGCCAGGTTGAAAACGACGCGACAATAGGTAGTCATAATTTTAAATCGAGGTTTCTGGGTTTGAAACGACGTCGGCAGAGGTTAATTAAAAACAGTTTCACCTTGTATATAAACAGGTAGACAGGTCTGGAGCATACCTTACCTGTGGACGGTAGCCGGGAGACTTGACTCCGTCACCGCTAACTAGCCGTGTGTCCCCCTCAGGTGTCTGAGGTTTTGTTTTCTCTTGGATCCCAGAATTCCTGGAGTTGTTGTGTTGTTGACCACTGGTCAAATGGTGTTCACAACAGACACAGGGAACCACAAGCCTGAGCTAGACAACAATGGCGACCCCGTCACACTCAAAGTTGTGCCCTTCGACACGTCCATCCATATGGGCAAAGAGGTGAGTTGTCTTGACCAGTTCTGGAATGTTCTATCTCCCCAACCACTTGACAATATTAGATATGAAATAAGACGCTTAGATTCGGTTTTAACATTACGTTTTCTTAACACGTGTTAAACGTAACATTTTTAGCTTAGATTTATTGTTCAAAAACTTTTCGTTTGATGTCTTCAATTTTCTGTAGTTTTTTAACAAATTAAATTGGTTCCCGCACTAAATGAAAGGTTTGTGGTTCAACATGTAGACAGGTAAAATACGTTGTTGACACTTGCGCATGTTACTGCGGAGATTATTTTTATCCTTCCCTAATAAAAATAATTTAGTAATTTTTAACAACGCTAAGATGTTTTCTCTTTACTACTTTTTTGTTGTTTGCAATCGTTTGAAATATTTAGGGTAGTTATAAGTCAGAAAGTAATTAGCTATATTTATATTAAATAGCAATCTATTTATATTACATAGCAAACTCACTTAACGTGTGAAAATAGTGCTTGAAAATGTGGTGTTCAAGGAAGAGAGATAGTGGTTGGCACAACGTCTAAACACATATAGTTACATAGACATAGTGAACCCTAGTTCATTATTTAGGTCTTGTAATGTAGCTACTTTTTGTACCGTGTTAACCATTTAGATCTTGTAATGTAGTTTTTACTTTTTGTATTGTGTTAACCATTTAGGTCTTGTAATGTAATTTTTACTTTTTGTATCGTGTGAACTTTGCTGTAAGCATTGTCCCCAATAAGTATCCTAGACAACTATGTGACTAAAATGTGGAGTACAAGACTACATCACAATAGATACTCAAACTTGTCTACGTTTTTGTAACAAGCATAAACTTGTGCGATATTGTGTTGTACTAGGTCTTCTTCAATTACCTCTGTATCTATTTTTTTTCAAAACCTAACCAGTTTACATGTGTAGTTCTCATATACGGAGTGAATCTATTTTGTGTAGTTGCTTTTGACTATAAGAAACGTATGTCCTAAAAACACGCACTCAAGCATCTCAAACTAGGTTTAATTTCACAACATTCATTATACGCTTTATGTTAATTGGGTGTTTTTTCTGTTTTCATTTTTGGGTTTAAGTTATAATTTTAAGCCTTAAAAAAAGAGTTGAAAGGGTCTACCTAGTCTAGAGAGGAGAGATTAATTAGAGGGGTCTTTCAATTGTGTTTTCTTGGGTTGTACATTACACCATCGATTCATTTAATTTGATCGATTACAAATTATCGGTTGAGGTGGTTAAGTTACACAATATGTGATTGATATGGGCGGTGTGGGCGGGGCTGTGGTTAAAATTAGTCTTGACTTTTCACGTCTGCTAAAATATGACAACGACCAATTAGGTTTGATTGACAGCTGGAAGTATGGGCAAGCTTTACCTAACAACGGCACGGTAACATTTGAGTTAGGGTTATAGCCAAGTTAACAATGGGCTTACAAATTATGGGTTATTGCCAAGTTAACAATGGGCTTACAAATTATGGGTTATAGCCAAGTTAGCAATTGGCTACAAATTATGGGTTATTGCCAAGTTAGCATTGGGCTTATAAATTATGGGCCAAGTTAGCATTGGGCTTATAAATTATGGGTTATAGACAAGTTAGCATTGGGCTTACAAATTATGGGTTATAGCCAAGTTAGCAATTGGCTACAAATTATGGGTTATTGCCAAGTAAACAATGGGCTTATAAATTATGGGTTACAGCCAGGTTAGCATTGGGCTTATAAATTATGGGTTATAGCCAAGTTAGCAATGGGCTACAAATTATGGGTTATTGCCAAGTAAACAATGGGCTTATAAATTATGGGTTACAGCCAGGTTAGCATTGGGCTTATAAATTATGGGTTGTAGCTAAGTTAACAATGGGCTTATAAATTATGGGTTATAACCAAGTTAGCATTGGGCTTATAAATTATGGGTTATAACCAAGTTAGCATTGGGCTTATAAATTATGGGTTATAGCCAAGTTAGCAATGGGCTACAAATTATGGGTTATTGCCAAGTAAACAATGGGCTTACAAATTATGGGTTATAACCAAGGTAGCATTGTATTTTAGATTGAGACGAGCCATTGGGGGTTGTTGAGATTGTCGAGAAACTGAGTGATTATAGATAGGGTTTACAAATTATGGGTTATTGTTATGGTTTATATATATTACATATATATAGTTCCATTTTGAGTTCCAAGTTAGCATCTAATACTATAATGGGCCACGTTCGCACATCTCTCTCTCTCTCTCTCTCTCTCTCTGTCCGCAAAAATTTTTCGCCGGACATCACGTCAGAAACGGCAGCAATATATGGAGAACTTTATACGGACTTTTGTTGAAAATAATATGTTAGATGTTTTAAATGTATAACCACAATTTTATTTAAAGAAAAAAAATATAAAATAAAGGCGTATTCGAATGTAGAGAAACAGTATTATTTATGCAACCGGAAAAGCATTAATAGATGTGTAAAAGAACGCATAAAACTGTGACGACACTATTGCTTACTAAAGACGTCATCTGCCGTGTTTAGAATAAAAAAGAAATGAACTATTTCATTCAAATTTGATTTAGATCTACGTACACTATGAAATGTATACAATACAATTTTTCCGGCCTAAACTCATAACATTTATTTATACAAAATCTTTGTTTGGAACTGGCTAATTTGGGATAAAAAAATTAATTTGAAAAAATAGGCATATTCGCGTAAGTTAAGATTTTAAAATACGTCTTTCATTCTCTGTATTTTATAAGGTGCCTAAATAGCGGAGATGTTAGTGTACTATAAACCACACAGGTGGTGCGGGTTCGAGACCCACCAAGTCAACTTGGTTAATGAATTTTTTATTTTTATTTTGCTCGGACTAAACTTAAAAAAAAAAATTCAATTAGGATTCTAGATCTAGATTGTCGGGTGTCCGATAAGGCACTTCCCGGCGCCGCAGGCGCTTCAAATTTGGCAGGATCTTGCCTTGGTGCGACAGAACACGGGGGCCGGTTGGCCGAAAAGTCTACGATGATGGGGTCAAAACTGACCTCGACTGACCGGCGCCTTATATGAGCTATAAATCGAAAAAAAATGTCCACGGAGGAACCTCTTCATAACTCCTGAGGTCGTAGACCGACCCTCGGGCGAATTAATTAAGCATTCAAATTCTCAATGTTTTCGAAAGCCTAAGCGAAGCTGGGCAGCATGCCTAGTTTGGTTATAAACGCAGTTATAAATGTTTAGGGGGTACGTGTATTACATTATATAAGATGACAGAGTCTACACACTATTAATTTTTTTAATGAGATTAAGTTTCCATTGTAAGTAAAACATGCATCAAGCCCTATTTTAAACAATCATTATAGAAAACTAATATATTATAAAAGTGAAATATTATCTCTTATCGACATGTTAGACTCAATGAGCAGGTAGTGAGAGGAGAATATTTAAAGTCTTCAATCACGTATAGGCCTACATTAATTAAAATGCTGCCATTGCTAATTAGTATTACATGATTATAATTGACGGAACCATCAAGAAAAAGTTATGAGGACCGTAAAGGACGGTCGAAATTATGTCAATTTACACCTAGAACACGTGATTAATATAATTATAATTAGGGGAACATTTGGTGTGACATGCGTCAAAGTTAAACTAATTTACACAGAATTTTTAACGCGCCAAGTACGCGCACGCTACGTCCGTAAAGTATTCACTTTCTGTCCGTAAAGTATTCACATTCTGTCCGCATATTATTCACATTCTGTCCGTAAAGTATTCACACGCTGTCCGTAAAGTATTCACATTCTGTCCGTAAAGTATTCACATTCTGTCCGTACAGTATTCACATTCTGTGCGTAAAGTATTCACATTCTGACCGTCAACTATTCACATTCTGTCCGTAAAGTATTCACATTCTGTCCGTAAAGTATTCACATTCTGTCCGTAAAGTATTCACATTCTGTCCGTATTCACACGCTGTCCGTAAAGTATTCACATTCTGTCCGTAAAGTATTCACATTCTGTCCGTAAAGTATTCACACGCTGTCCGTAAAGTATTCACATTCTGTCCGTAAAGTATTCACATTCTGTCCGTAAAGTATTCACATTCTGTGCGTAAAGTATTCACATTCTGACCGTAAAGTATTCTCATTCTGTCCGTAAAGTATTCACATTCTGTCCGTAAAGTATTCACATTCTGTGCGTAAAGTATTCACATTCTGTCCGTAAAGTATTCTCACGCTGTCCGTAAAGTATTCACAATCTGTCCGTAAAGTATTCTCACACTGTCTGTAAAATATTCACATTCTGTCCGTAAAGTATTCACATTCTGTCCGTAAAGTATTCACATTCTGTCCGTAAATTATTCACATTCTGTCCGTAAAGTATTCACATTCTGTCCGTAAATTATTCACATTCTGTCCGTAAAGTATTCTCACACTGTCCGTAAAGTATTCACGCCGTTTGTCCGTTAACTGTCCATACTCATTGTTACGTCCGTAAACTTTATTTTATGCGCACTTTCTAGGGGAATTTTATCAAAGGACTGTTATGGATTTTTATTTACATTAAAGGTCAAATTACAATGGTGACAATAGTGCAGATGAAGTAGAGTTCATCTATTTCTGTTACCTCGGCATATTGAGCACTAGTAAGATTATTTCTAGATACAACTACTTTTACTTTTCCTTAACGTATGTCAGGTACTCATTATAGCTGAGTGAACTCACAGACATTCTACAGACTTTGGGATCTGAACTTAGGGTCTTTGGTTAGAAGTCATGCTCTCTTCCATCAGACCACACCGTTCCATCAACACTAATTATGTCGAGCAATAATATATTAAAAAGTGTTTTTCAGTAAATATTAAATTTATCTTTTAAAATACGATTTATAAAAGCAGGTGTGTGCTGAAATATTATTTAGCGTTTAGCAATGCGAGTGTGAACAAATACACGAAGAGTGTGAAGGTTAACGCAACAATAGCCTTATCACGTGACTCTAAAATCACA